ATAATCGTTTGAATATTTTATAGATTGACTCTTCGTTTACATCATACTATCGAGTCAATGATTGAAAGCAATAATAGTATCATTAGACATTATTAAAATATAATTTTATCATATCTCCGTCAACATGTTAACGTCCAACTCAAAAGACCATCAATTTTTAATAGAAAAGTTGAGTTTGAAACATATAAATAATTGGGTGATCATTTTGTAACTTTTACTAGTCGGAGACTCAAAAAAATAACACCCTATAGTCGGGATCATTTTATAACTTTTAATAATCAGAAAATTTAATAAAACAACACTCTATAATCACGAGACTATTTGTGAACTTTACCCGTAACCTAAAGTCAATCATCTCTATTTTTAAATAAGCAATGACATATTTTAACAGTTTTGAAAGTTGCTGTTTAAAGATAAGGTTGAAAAGTAAATAAAGTAAAATACAATATAATATTCAAACCACGTCATTTTACTAATAGGTTTAATCCCATTGTTTAAGTTGAGAGTTTCAATTCGATTTAGTTAGAGGTAACGTACACAAATGATTATTCTACCATGAAATGTTTGTTTAGTACTTTAATTATTAAAAATTGTAAAATGATCCATTAATTATAGGACGTTAGTTTATTGAGTCTTTTGATTATTAAAAATTACAGAATAGTCACCTGACTATGATAAATTTTGATTTCAGAATCGTTTAAGTTATATTTTGTGAATTCACTCTCCGTTTACATCGTTGAGCCAATGCTTGAAAGCAACGATAATGTTAGTAGACATCATTAAAATATGATTTTATCATATCTCAGTCAACATGTTAACATCCAACTCAGATGACAATCAATTTTTAATGAAAAGTTGAGTTTGAAACATATGAATAGTTGGATGACTATTTTGTAACTTTTAATAGTCGGAGACTCGACAAAGTAACACCCTATAGTTCAGATCATTTTGTAACTTTTAATAATCAGATGACTCAACAAATTAACATCCTGTAATTGCAGGATCATTTGTGTACTTTACCCTTAGCCTAAAGTCAATCATCTCGATTTTTAAATAAGCAGTGACATATTTTAACCAGGTTTGCAAGTTTCTGTTTAAGTATATTATTATCCTAAAGTCATCCTCAATTCCTCATAGACTTGAGATTTTGCATTTTTAAATGTCAAATAAGGCTCAATCTGTTAATAAAGGGAAGCAAAGGAAATTGTGAAGAGCATGGTGAGCTCCAAGTATTTGGCATGTCTGGTTTTTTCTGTAACTCTGAATCTTCTGTTCATCGTCAATATATATGTGGGTGATCAATGGAAGCTGAGTTGGACCACAAGAGCAGCACTTGAAGCTGAAAGAGTTGCAGCAACATACTGTTCAGGCCATGGCAGAGCTTACTTGGATGGACTGGTTGCTGATGGGAATCAACCAGTTTGCAGCTGCAATACATGCTTTACCGGCCCCGATTGCTCTCGATTTATACCTCGCTGCGCCGCAGATGCAGATAGGTACTTACAGATCAGCGATGCAGTCGTACTCTCTGATATAAAATTCTGATCTGTTCGTGTGTTACAGATGATTTCGGCAGTTTATAGTTTTGACTTTTGATGATTTATTGATATGAATTGTATACTTATGATGATATGTACTTATTTCTCAGTTTACATTTGCAGTGGGAATCCATTGTTTCTAGAGCCTTTCTGGATGCAACATTTAGCCAGTAGTGCCCTGGTAGTACCAGGTTGGCACCAAATGGGATATACTTATGATGATCGGACTTACGTCTCGAAAGAGCTCGAAAAGCTCGTCCGGAGAGTACATTCAACCGTCGGGAATGCAGTCACCGAGAACAGATTCATCATTTTCGGTGCAGGTTCCACCCAAATCCTTAATGCTGCAGTTTTTGCACTCTCCGCTGAAAATACCTCCTCAACTGCAAGAGTTGTATCTTCTGTTCCTTACTATCCGGTCTGGTCCAACTCTCATACTACGTTTTTCCACTAGATTTTGTAAATTGTTTGTCATTGATTTGATTCGAGAATTTGAATTTTCGACAGGTCGACCAAGAACAGACGGAATACTTTAGTTCAACGAAATTCAAGTTCGAAGGAGATGCTTATACATGGAGGAATAGATCAGATGCTAGCAGTACCAACATGATCGAGTTCATAACATCACCAAACAATCCTGATGGACAGTTAAAGGAAGCGATCCTACATGGTCCTAATGTCAAAACAATTTATGATCGTGCGTACTACTGGCCTCATTTTACGCCAATTCCGGCTCCGGCTGACGAAGATGTGACGGTCTTTACACTTTCCAAGCTTACCGGTCATGCCGGCACCAGACTCGGGTAAAAACTCTTGACCATTACTTAATCTAGTTCATCTTTTCGAGCTTCAGATCACATTGACGAGTTGTATGCAGATGGGCAGTGATAAAGGATGAAACTGTGTTCAAGAGAATGATGATACACATGAGGTTGAATTCCATGGGAATTTCTAAAGATGCTCAACTAAGAGCTTTTAGGCTTCTGAAAACAGTCCTTGAAGAAGGAACCGAAATATTCGACTTCGCGTACCGAACAATGCAGAGCAGGTGGGAAAGATTGGTCCGGACCATATCATCGTCGGACCGCTTCTCTCTTCCAGAAAACAATCCTCGATACTGCACTTTTTACAACAAAGTCCGAAAACTTTCCCCAGGTAGTTCTCTCAACCTCACTTTCATGCCTTGAAAACTTTAATTCCCAATGTTGCACACATGTAATTTAATGTTTACCATGACAAGTACTCAGTTAGATATCGCATTCTGTTCTTTAAAACTCGTACACGAATGTCCTGATCCTTCGTTTCGGAGTCGCGGTAACCTATATCGTCACCCGACACCATTTTACCTATGCCATTGATCTTACCAACCTTATGGTTATGGCAGCTTACGCATGGTTGAAATGTGAGAGGGAAGAAGATAAAGATTGTTATGCAGTTCTCAAGGCAGCTAACATCATCAGCCGTCGAGGAAATCTGTTTGGCTCAGAAGATCGATATGTTCGACTGAGTATGATCCGAACCGAAGATGACTTCGACATATTACTTGAACGTTTAAAGGAATTCATATCAAAGGAAGATGGTGCCAAGACATTTGAAGAATGAGATCAATATTTCTTGATCGAAACCTCTTAAGTACATGTATAATTGTTCTGTGACATTGAAACATAATAAACTATATTATCAGATGTGTTTATACTTAAAAACACATTTATGCATAGTTGAATTATCCTTCAAACTTTCAACCTTTACAATTTAGTCCCATTATTAAATCCTTAATATGATTTTAGTCTAGAAAATCATTAATTTAACGATTAATCCATCAGATTCTGACACCGGAACTTGGGGAATAAACCAGTTTGCAGCTGCAATACATGCTTTACAGGCCCTGATTGCTCTTGGTTTATACCTCGATGCGTTTCGAATGCCGATGGGTACGTACAGATGATTTCAGCAAGTTTTCCCTTATTTGTGAAGCTTTTAGATTTGATCATTCATATTTGGTTCCCAGATGACAAGTTTTTACAATCTGCAAAGTGTTTAAAGTTTTCGACGATTTATTGATCAACTAATCGAAACATTCATTGAATATGATTGGTTCTTTGTGTTTACATTAATATGTTTACATTTTCAGTGGGGATCCATTGTTTCTAGATCATTTCTGGATGCAACACTCAGCCAGCAGTGCCCTGGTAGTACCAGGGTGGCACCAAATAAGCTATACTTACGATGATTCGACTTTCATCTCGAAAGAGCTTGAAAAGCTCATCCACAAAGTACATGCGACCGTCGGGAATGCGGTCACCGAGAAAAGATTTATCGTTTTCGGTGCAGGTTCCACCCAACTCCTTAGTGCTGCAGTCTTTGCACTGTCCCTTGAAAATCCTCGTCGAATCGCTTCTCTCTTCAGGAAAACAATCCTCAATACTGCACTTTTTACAACAAAGTCCGACAACTTTCCCCAGGTAGTTCTCTCAACCTCACTCTTATGCCTTGAACATAGTATGACAAGAAACATGTTAGATGTCTCATTCTGTTGTTTTAGTCTCGTACACGGATGTCCCAATCTTGCGCGTCGGAGTCGTGGCCACCTATATCGTCATCCGACACCGATACAACCTTAGTATTTGTCCTCCTAGTGAAGGTGCCATTGGTTTCATTCTTTACATTTCAAAGATGCTTGATCTTAACAACCTTATGGTTATGGCAGCTTATGCATGGTTGAAATGTGAGAGAGAAGAAGATAAAGATTGTTATGCAGTTCTCAAGGCAGCTAACATCATCGGCTGTCGAGGAAAGCTGATCGGAGCAGAAAATCGGTGTGTTCGATTGAGTCTGATCCGAACCGAAGATGACTTTGACATGAACGTACATATTTCTTTGCCTCTACCCTTCGAACATGTGACTTCAATAGCTTCAGAAAATTTTATTTAGAAAGCTTATTAAGTTTGAATTCTCAAAACTAAATTGAATAAATTGTTAAAATCAAATAAATTAACTGAATAAGCTTAAAACTTCTGGTTAAATCAATTTAACCGAATATTTGCTCACCCATACCAAAAACCATACTATATTTCGGGGTTTTCTCCACTTCATATGCTTTGTCAAATTACTTGACGGTGCGTTATATTTCTAGGGATAGGAATTTGCTTCGAGTTCAACAAATTTTAATATGATCCGATCATTTTTTTAAATAAATAAATTTGAATCAGATTAATAATTTTTTTCATAATAAAATCAAATCAGGTAGGATTTGAATTCAGAGTAAAAAAACTCGACTCGACATAATTTTATAATTATCTTTTATATATTTAGAGATAATTAATAATATTTTTTCAATTAAAACCTTATTTCACTTTATATATATATATGAGTGTGTGTCCATGCACGTGCGCGTATACATGTATGTGTCAGATCATATGCGAGTGTGGGTGCGAGCTTTCACCCAAAAATTCGGACTGGGTTTCGAGTTGAGTAAAATCCTCCTAAATCCAAATTGGTTCGAGGACTAAAAATCCCAAGACGTGACTATCCCTAGATATGAAATGTCAGCTGATGCTGAGCTTGACCCCCACACACAATAGGCACAGTTGATGCTGAGCTTGACCCCCACACACAATAAGCACAGCTGATGCTGAGCTTGATATTCAATGGCAGATTAAGACAGGCATTAGTAAATTAGTTGATGATTCCACACATATATTGACTTGTAGTTTGCTTTATTGTCCCACTAAATTGCCTTCAAAGCTGGTGCATGAAACCAACACTAAGACCAATCCAAAAGAGAAAAGCACCTTTCCATTTCTAGACTTAAAAAAGGGTCCAAGAAGCCTTAATTTTCAACCACAACTTTTTATAACTTAACCATTTCATACGGGCGGACACAAGATTTTAATTTAATGGGACACATTTCTAAAATTTTAGAAAGGGCCGACCATATAAAATTAAAATTTTAAAGTGGTGAAATCAGATTATCAATAGAAAATATTTAAAAAAAAACTGTCCCACATACTCCATCGGTCCATCCCTGATTGGACATATGACTCAATGGATGTAAGGAGAGGATCACATAATGAACACGAGAAAGTAAATACAATTCTACTATTACAAAGCACAAAGAGACATCACAACCGGATCATGAACCTCCCAGCACAAAAAGAATCCCCACAATGAGTAAGTGTTTTCTGAACATATTGCACAACAACATATCATCTCGAAAGAAAACTAGAAAAGATAATACAAAATGTGGGCAAAGAAAAGTTATCTATTTTATATGTGGAGAAATCAGTAGGGAGTATAGTAATACCCGGCCAGTGGCCCCATCGGATTGAACGGTGGCATTCCATAAGGCATCCCAGGTCCATAGTATCCGGGGTTACTGATTTTGGCCAAACTAGTTTGACCTTGCATCCCTTCCTTTGAATAATGTTGCCACACTTGCTGCTCCTGGACAAGCAAATGTTGTTTCTTCTCCATGTCGGCCATTTGTACATACGGAGGAGGAGGAATGGTCAATGATGCGGCGAATGGGTCCTGGTTGACATTCTGAACTGTTCCATCGGGTGCTGGAAGAGCTAAAACTTGTGTTGTGGTCTTCCCTGGGCCTGGCAATGCCACACTGCTCGCACTCCCCCAGCTCAACTGCGCGGTACTAACGTGTTGCCTTACCATTCCCTGATCATACATGCCGTTCAACAAGAGTGGATCAAGGCCACCACCCAAAGCTGCCTTCTGCCTTGACAAATGACTAGCTGTCTCAACCAAAGCCAACTCCCAATCTTCCTTCCCTGGCTCAGCAGCAGGGTTTTGCCAAGCTGATGTCACTTCGGGAATGTTCGATGGGAAAGCTTCCCAAGATCCATTACCATTGTTAGCCGGGCCATTAAATAAAGCCAAAGCCAATTTGTTCCCCTGATCATCAGCCGTAACATTATCATCCCTCAAATTCACTAAATCCTCTTGTGGTTCCGGGGGTTTAACAGGGTTGGGCTCTGGCGGTGGCGGTGGAGTGTAGTTTTCTGGAGCAGGTAGGGCCTTTATTTCATTCATATCTTGTGCAGGCTCTTCCTCCTTAGGAGGAGGAAGCTCTTTCCTCTCCGGACTCTTTGGCCTCTTAGCTCTATCCCTCAGAAACTCCTCCAATGTTTCCAATAACTTACTGGTAATCCTTTGCACCTCGGGATACTCCGATGATCTAGCCACACCAGTTTCCTTACACCAATTATAAAATGCAATCAACTCGTCGATCTGCTTTGCTGCACTTGCATATGCATCAAATGCCTTGACACAATCTGAGTACTCCATATCGAAAAACCTATCGAGCAGCATAGCCAAAACCTCACAAATATCTGCATATAACTGAAAACTCTCTTTCACAACCGAATATATAGCAATCAAGACCATCCTACTATTCTTCGCCAATCCTGTAGGCCGACACGACAAGAACCGATCTAACAACCTCTGCAAGTGACCCATCTTCCCGAAAATCCTCTCGGGAGTCATCTCCCTCAATGGAGTCACTGATTTCTTCTCGTCTCTCCTCTCCACTGCCTCACTCATATCACCATAAGACCTTGTTCTCTTTGGCATCCCATAATTTCCATATCCATTATCACCTCTGAAATCACCATAATCATATTCGTATGGTCTCGGTGGTGGTGATCGGAAATTGTATCGTCCACCATTTCTATCATCGTATGGCCTTGGTGGCGGTGACCGGAAATTATCTCGTACAATGTATCTATCATCACCACTCCCATGATTACTTCCTCCGAAGCCACTACCTCCACCGCTTTTCCTATCGAAAAGAATCAGTTCAAGTCTTTGATCCAAATACATAGAATAAGTTCTTATAAAAGCAGAGTGATCCCAAGAATTCGAGTGAGCCTCGTCTCTAAAATCCGACATATTCAACAATCTCGTACCTCTCCTAGTAGCATACAAGATCTCTTCCTGAAACAACGGATCTCCCTCATTCAACAGTTTATGAACAAGCACCAGTGCTTTGAGCGCCACGATCCAGTTCCGAGTCTTCCCTAGCCGTTTCGACACGGCCGACACGCAAGCGTGGACGTAGCCGCAGCCGCGCGTAGGAGGTCAAATTAAGGATCTCACGTATGTACTTCTCGCCGGCAGGGTCATCATCGTGGCTCGTAGCTTTCACAATCGCCACCTCGAGGTCCGGCGCCATGTTGCTAGCGACCTTCGCTAGTCCTATGCTGGTTTGGTCTTTAACGGCTCCAATCGCTTTCTGAATCGTGCTCGGCATCTTGACCGTCTGATTCCAAACCAAAACCTCCTCGATCGTTTCTCAATTGGAAATTATCAAACCGTAATTTCACTTTAAAATGTTCAACTCCAAAGTAGAAATCTAGCAAAATTCAATTAACTCACTCTAATTAAGATCAATTAAACCATTAGTGAAGTCCAAAAATAAACGAGAACAAAGATTTGAAAAGAAAAAAGATTTGTTCTTTCAGCGAATACCTTCAATATTTACGGCGTACGGCGGCAAAGAGACAGTGGAGGATGTGGAAACAAAAGGCTAGTGTATTAGGGTACGAAGACGTGGAAGAATCAGGGCCGTCGGATGGTGGTGGTCCGGTGGGTGTAAGAGATCTTGTGAGAGGTAGCTGTTTATGCAAGAACCAAGAGGAAATTAAAGGGAAAAAGAAGGATATATGTATAAGAATAAAGAATAAACTTTACAATGAAGGAGGTACTTAGCTTACCATTCACTTTTTTTTTTTGCTAAATCATTTTGTGCCCCCATTCAAAATTCGTCTAATATATAAGTAACAATAAAGTGATATAAACTACAATTATTGATTTTTTTATTTTGGTCACTCAACTTTTAAATATTATATTCTAGTCACTTACATAACTGTTATTTATAAGATAATCACTGGAATGTTGTTTTCGTTACATTAATGATCTTGCATGTTAATAAAACAAAATTAATTTCTAATTATTACCCCTAAACTTTAGTTAAAATATCATGAATCAATAACTCAGTCTCACATAAAAAAAAGTGACAATACGATATGCAATAATAGTAGGGATGGGCATGAGACATGAACCCGACGAGTTCTGACTCGATCCGATCGATCGGGTCGAATTTTTTTAAAAATCGGGTTCGGGTCGAGTCGACTTTTTTTAAGGTGATATTTGGATCGAGTCGGATTCGATTTTAGGGTGAAAAATATTTAGTCCGACCCGTCCTAAAAAATATAATTTTATTTTATATATTTAGGAATAATTACAATAATATCCCTATATATATTATTTTTTAAAATTAAATCACTGTTTTTTTTAATAAAAATAATATTTTTATTAATATTTTGGATCGGGTCAGGTTCAAATTATCTAAAAAAAAGCGTGTCGGATTCGAATCGGATAGATGGTATATATTTTTCGGGTCGGTCGGACGAAGGATGTAAAACTTTGGGGTCGGGTTGACCGAAACTCAACCCATGCCTATTCCTAAATAATAGTGATATATCATGAATCAATAAGTATACGAAATAATATTCTATGCAATAGCAATGAGTTTATGGATTTAATGACGAATTCAATTTAATAGACACGCTTCTTCAATATTTCAAATATAACCAATGAACATGTTGTATCAATTATTACAAGCAACAATCAGAACATATCAGGCTTTATTTCTTAGTTCATTTATCATTAAATTATTTATCAGAATTAGACTTGGGCAAATAAGTAATTCACTTTAAAAGGCTCTGGATTCGTATCCAGGCCCAACCCGAGAAAAAAGCTTCTGAGTATGATCAAACGAATTGGGCCAGATCGGTAACTAATCGGCTGCGATCCCTATTCGAGTTCTTTGACTCAGTGACTCGTCCATTGTTTTGTACTTATCGTTGCCGTGCCTACGAAGGTCCCCTCTCTCTAACTACTATCGTTTTGAAGTCGTCGTCTTCATAATACACAAAAGCGAAGGACGGTTTCAAAGAAAAGAAAAGAGCTAATAAATGTCAATGATGGCGACGAACTCCTTCAAGAACCCGATTCTTCCGATTTCGGATCCGCCAATAGATAAGGAAGAAGAAAAAGAAAGGCTTCTCAAAAGAGGAGATGATAGGCTTTTCAAAGGATCCGCCATGACCAAAAGAGGAGCCTACGCCGCCATCTATTATATGACATGCGCTGGTTCGTTCCTTTTCCCCTCTTGTTTGTTCTTCATTTTGTTTTTCCAATTTTTAGTTACTTGATTGCTTTGTTAATGTAACGCAGCCATCGGATTTGACACTAATTTGATGTATTTTTTTTGTTGCAGTGCTTTTGATACTCTTCAACAAAGCAGCTTTATCTTCGTATGGTTTCCCCTGTGCCAATGTAATTACACTCTTTCAGGTAAAGATAAAGGATTTCATAGCTTGAATTATATAATTCGTATATATTTTTATATTTTTAATTTTAATTTTTTTTATCCTTTCTTTGGTAGATGACAAGTTCGTGTACTTTTCTCTATGCACTGAGACGGTGGAAGATTATATCTTTTGCAAACAATGAATCTTTAACCATTTCTGATAGCAATACTAGTTTGGTTCCCATTAAGACGTTGATCCATACCCTTCCTCTTGCAGGATCCTATTTGCTTTACATGGTACTATTATGTTTCGATTTCTTGGATAATTGTTTACTTATTGTTTTCTTGATGTATATATTATTTGAAATTGTAAATGATCAAGTCTTTTTTTTCTATTATATTGTTTTTCTTTATATTTGGCTGATAAAAAATGGGTTCTCTCTTGCTCCTTGAAAGCTAGTCACAGTTGAGTCTGTACGAGGCGTGAATGTTCCAATGTACACTACACTTAGACGAACTACGGTTGTGTTTACAATGATTGTGGAGTTTCTTCTGGCAGGACAGAAGTATTCATCATCTATACTTGGAAGGTAACTGTCGGTTCAATCCCTTTCAAGCAGTTGCTTCTCGTGGAAAATGTTGTCTTGATGAAAATGAGAAAAGCTAGGAAGCTGTTTGGTTATGTCTTTCGCTCAAATTGTTGTGAAATTTACTTGTGACATCTTACAGTTCTTGGTTGGGTTGCTGCTAGAATATGATTTTGAAATCCAAATTTTGTTTGGTTGTGATTAAAGCCCTTGATTTTGTTTTCCAGCTGCCTTCTTCTATGGTCATGTGAATATAAATCTCATGGCCGTAAAGATTTGTAAAATTGGAATTACATGAAAAATGATTGGAGCAGCCAGCAAATAAGTTATATGAGCTTTTTATCTTGCACATAGTGTATCGACTTGATCATCTTCTAGCTGTATAAGTGTTCAGTTGTGATAAAAAAAATTAATAAGATTTTAAGATTGTGGCCATGGTAGGAAATTCTTGCGTCTGCTGTTACTTTGATCTGTAACTTCTAGTTATACTAGTTTTAGAATTGTGAGAATTCAACCAGGTGGTTTTTAAAACTTTTGATGCATAAAGTTTGAGTTGGAAATGCAAGTAGACCTTTGACTTGAATAGCTGTGTTTCTGATATCTTTGTTTAACTGAAAATTTTTAAAGATCCTTTCAGTGTTGGGTTGATTGTTCTTGGTGCATTTGTCGCGGGAGCTCGGGACTTGTCATTTGACTTTTATGGATATGCTGTTGTTTTCTTAGCCAACATCGCTACTGCAATATATCTTGCAACCATAGCCCGCATTGGTAGTACTCTCCCCTTCTTTCTTCTTTTGAGCCACATATCCTCTTCTCTGTGCCGACATAATTGTTGTGTTCTTGCCTATTTTCCTCTTTGTCAGGGAAATCTAGTGGGCTTAATAGCTTTGGGCTTATGTGGTGTAACGGTAACTTATAACCTAACTTTAGTTGAATTGCATATTCTTTATTCCATGGGCACATAAATATTTGTCCCAGCTGTCTTATGAGTAACTGGTTTTTTTATGATAGGCATAATTTGTGGACCAGTTTTGTTGTTGTGGACATTTTTTCATGGTGATTTGAAGACTACAATGAATTTTCCTCACCTCTTTTCACCTGGTTTTTTGGTATGTTTCGCACTCTATCGAATTCTTGCATCAATATAGATATTTGTTTTTGTGTTTGGAAATTGCTCTCAAAAAATTTCTTACGGTAAGAAGATTATTTCTAAGCGATTAATTGTAATTGAACTCTTTTATAACTGGAAGTTTTATGTATGAAGAAGTGTCCACAGTAGAACTGTTATCTTTTCTAGCACTCTAAGGGTTATAAACAATTTATATATACGAGCCTGCCATTATTCTCTTGAGGTTTAGAAAACTTAAAACGCCGTCCCGTTTACCTTTTGTGCAGTGCTTTTTAGCTTCACTTCAAATAACTTGAGATAGTTTAACAATGTTGATGCATTTGCCCCGTCTTTTTGTGCAGGCTGTATTGATTCTTTCATGTACACTAGCTTTCTTCTTGAATTACACGATTTTCTTGAACACAACTCTCAATTCAGCAGTCACGCAAACCATCTGTGGCAATCTGAAGGTATCCTTGCACACTTCTCCGACCATGATTCATGCATTCTCCTCCGGCAATTTGGCAGCCTTGAATAATGATCTGTAATTTCATTCTGAATGTTGCTATTCATGTTTAATTGAGGAATCTTCATAATGAAGTTCCAAATGCCAAACTTTGTTACATGAATTATATATTAAAAAAATTTGAGCATCTGACCTTGCATATGATTTTCATCGCTTCGAGTATAATGATGCATTCTCATCTCAATGTATAAATGAACTTTCTAGATATCTATTTGGCCTTGTTTATTGTCATGCAGCATATGCAAGTACATATTTTCCTTTATTAGAAAAAAAAGGTGCATATTTCCGAGTTTCTGATATGCTAATTAATTTGCTGTTGTAGGATCTTTTTACCATTGGACTTGGCTGGATGCTTTTTGGTGGGCTTCCCTTCGATATTGTAAGTGCACTACGTTGTTGTTGCTGCTAGCCTGCTAGTTAGCATTTGACATAAGTCAAAATTCGTATCTTTCCGTCTAAGTAGCCGTCGCATGATGGGATTTGATTTATTCTTGTTACAGCTGAATGTTATCGGGCAATTGATGGGATTTGTTGGTTCTGGTTTGTATGCCTACTACAAGCTTGTAGGAAAATAACCAACTTCAGGCTAACAAATAACCAATGTCTAATTGGAGTTTACGGATTGCTACTTTACCTTTGTCCGTTCATGCGATTATCGAGCTGTTAGAGCCAATGTAGGTGATGATTCTCTGCTCATCTAGCCTTTCTCCGTCTTCCTTTTTCCCTCCGGCGGGGACACCGGGAGTACAAAGTTTGTTGGAAAATTGTAAAAATGCAGAGTTAGGATAGTTTACAACTGATCCTATACTGTATATCTCTTTTAGGGACCATTTTTGTCTCTTGTTCTTCTTGACAAATTTTATAGTTGGATTTTCAAAGGTCTTCTTTTTCTCAATAAAATGTTCGAGTTCCCCATTGCCTTAATTTTGTTAAGGTTTGCAATTCTATTTACACTTAAATCTGGGAAAGTCTCACGTGCGGTAGCCCCCAATATACGGCTAAGAAAAAGTGTTACCGAAAATATTATTATTTTTTAATATTTTAGGTAAAAAGTTATCTAAAATATTATTATTTTTACCGGAAATGTTATTATTGGGCGTTTTGTTGGGTTTGTTAACATATTCGGTAAAGCGCTATTTAAAACATTATTTTTTTCGATAAGAAATGTTAATATTATGCACTTTACCGGAAATGTTAAAAAAATTAATGTTTTAGGTAAAAATATAATGTTTTAGGTAATTTTTTATTGAAAATATTAAAAAAATAATAATATATCCGGTAATGTTTTTCTTTAGCCGTATATTAAGGCTGTTGTACGGTAGAATTTCCCCTTAAATCTACCATGGAGAATATTTTTAATGTATATAAGGGTGAGCATAACTCACTCGGAAAAAATTTGAATTTTTTAACTTGACTCTCGTTAAAAAATTTGACTCTACTTATAATTTCAAAAACTCGATCCGAAAATTTTTCAGATAAAGTTAAAGTTATAAAATAAGATTAGAATAAGTTAAAAATTTTAATAATTAATGGATTGGTTTTCAAGTTCAAATTGAATCTATCAACTTTGCATGATATATGTATATTGCATATGAAGAAATATATCGTATATGGTAATAAAAAATTATTTAAATTAGAATCAATTAGTATCATAACCATCTAAATAATTATAATTAATTTGAACAAAAACTCGAATAATTCAACTTGATTTTAATTTTTTTAAATAAAATATTTTAGCTTGACTATCCGAATTTTTTTTAATTTAACTTAATTCGTTCAGATACACGTCCTATATGTATCCAACTATGAAAGCCCCAAATTCTCTTTATTGGGTCAATGATAAAGTTCTACATGGCCCATTGCACTATCCAAAGCCCACTTTCCCTATACATGAAATGTAACCACCATAGCCTCTCATCAATTTGTGTGGCAAAGAACGAGATAACCTTCTGCAAAATCACACTCATCTCTCACACAAAAATTGACGAAGAAAAACCACAACTTTTTTTCCTTCAATTTAGACAAAAAAAAATCCCATCTTGACATACCAAAAGCTCAAAAGACCCATCCTTTCCCTCATTTCATCAAAGACCAGAAGCCATGGCCAGCATGATAATGGCTTCCTCAAAGCCTGTGATCACCGTTGTTGCTTCATCTTCAAAACCCAAACACCAAAAAATCCCACAGCTTTCCCTCCCAAAAATCCCCACTCCAAAGTTCTTGAAAATCCAACAAGTCCCCACTCTCAAATCTATATCCCTATTGACACTCACCTCTTTATCCTTTGCCCCACCTTCACTTGCTGCAGAGATTGAAAAGGCTGCACTTTTTGATTTCAACTTAACTCTCCCCATCATGATGGTTCAGTTCTTGCTCCTAATGTTTGCTCTTGACAAGGTCTACTTCACCCCACTGGGGAAATTCATGGACGAAAGAGATTCCGCCATAAAGGAGAAGCTTTCCAGTGTGAAGGACACATCTGAGGAAGTGAAGCAGCTTGAAGAACAAGCTAATTCTATCATGAGAGCTGCAAGGGCTGAGATTTCAGCAGCTTTGAACAAGATGAAGAAGGAGACTCAGTTGGAAGTTGAGCAGAAACTGGCCGAGGGAAGGAAGAAAGTTGAGGCTGAATTGCAGGAGGCTTTGGCTAATTTGGAGAACCAGAAAGAAGAGACTATCAAGTCACTTGATTCCCAGATTGCTGCTCTCAGTCAGGATATTGTCAAGAAGGTGCTTCCTCTCTAAATTCCTCCATTTTATTATGGTTTTGAACTACATAAATCATCTGTGTATTTATAATATAAAAGTTGATTTGTAGAACAAGTGACAAGTTTGTGTACTTAATTAAAATTTGAAACTTTTGTTCGCGGGGTTGCTTTATATTCTGATTTAAGTTCATCTATGAGCTGGTTTATCCATGTTATAATTCGGGTTTAGGAGAATTCCACTAATTAAGTATTCATCGATTTCATATTATTCAAACATTGATTGAATCGATCTTGAGTAATTCGTAATTTTTCTCATCATATTTATAATTCTAGTCCGATGACACTTTTTATAGGTTTTTTTATACAAGTGTAAAGATTAAAATTGTTATTGGTATGGGTAAGTTGACATATCAAATAAATATGACACGCCAATAAGATGACTCTAATTGTCATTAATTAATAGTTTAACAAAAAAAATCTAAATCCTTTTTTGTTTGTTTAGACGTCTAAATTTTTTTCGATCAAAATAAATATCTTATACTACCAACATCATTATTTTAAATATATCAGTCGTAACAAACATTTAAAAAAAAATCGTTAACCATTTAAAACGTTACACGTGATGAGTTTTTATACTTTTTATTTTTTAAAAAGATAAAATTATATTGAAAACTCCAACATAGGTTATTACAAAACTACACATACAACGAATATTTCATTAAGACACGGCTTTACCTGTTGATGCTTAAAAAGTGCTATTGGAACAATAATCTCATTTTCAACTGCGTATCTTTATCAACATTTCCATTCATCTAATGATTTTAAATCAGTATTTTCTACGATATAATTGAATCCTACCTCCTCTCACCTCTCTCTATATATTAATAAAATTTAAGGTCCACTCACACAATGTAATTTTACACTGATTTATTATAGTTGGATGAGTAAAAATAGACAACTGAAATTATCTTCTTGTTTTTTCTACCGATGAATATATTCTCATTCCTGTGGTCAATCTCAAGATTCTCCACCATCTATTTCATTTATCCATCAATTCATGACAGTGGCTAAGTTCCATCGTGCCTATGCTTCGGTGGACTCCGTCTCTGTATCATATGTTTCTCGTATTTATTCTCTACGAAAAACAACGCCGATCTCTCTCAGTTGATCGGAATTGAACATTAAAATAAACGGATAAGAGCTTCAGGGTCTGATTCATCGGATCAGCGGGGGAGTAAGAACTGCATAAGCGTGTCAACAGGCGTTAGGCCATGACGTCGAAACTTCAATTATCGGAGACCGATTTCGCCCTTTTTGTTTATTTTTATTTTAGGGTAAACTACATATTTAGTACCCCAACTATAATTTTTGTTATGTTTTGATCATTTAACTGTTTTCAATTTCAAAATAATACTTAATGTTACGTTTTTATTTCATTTTGATCACCTATTGTTAAAAATTAACGGTACTGTTGATGTGTCATCATAAGATAATGCCACATCATCATTAAAAATTTATAAAAACATCACGTTAGCAGTTATGTTAGCTTTTTAACTACATGTGATCAAAATAAAACCAAAATGTAACGTTAGGCATGATTGTGTAACAAAAAATAGTCGGACAACCAAAACGAAACACAATTGATAGTTGTGGTACTAAATATGTACTTTAACCAAGTTTTAAATAAGAGCCAAAATATTTCTTTTGTCGTAGAATTATAACAAGAACTAATACATACACCACGAGAGAAAATCGGTGAATAAAAAGATTCTCTCGGTGATTTTTCACAGCTTTTTTGAAGTGCGTGAAAATTCTAGTACCGAATGTCATAGTAATGCAATTTTTCTCTTTATACAGTTCAAGAAAGCTGTGGAAAAGCACAAAGAGAACCATAGATAAAATAGAATAAAAGGGCAAGCGTGTTAGGGTAACGGTTTGGAATAAATGACTTATGTATCGAAAAAAATTATTTTCTCAAATAGGGTGGAATAAATAACGTACGGGAAGTTGGTCGGAGCATTTGACGTCTTCGAAAAATCGATCGAAACACCTGACATCTTTAAACTCTTCATCTTTGTCAATACGTAACGTGTCCCGATTGACTCCCCGAAAACGCATACTCTCCGACCAACTTCTCTTGCAATATTCATTTCACCCTATTTAACAAAATAATTTTTTTAATACTTACATAAGCTTTTTTTTTCTAGTAATTTTGTCGAATAAAAGAGAAGAGAAGAAATGGAAGTGGGAGAAAACATGAAAAAGCTGAAGGGTAGGCAAGTATTTATAATATAAATAGAACCCTTTAATATGCTTACCCATGAGACCGAATATTAATGGCTTTACCTTTTGGAGCTCAAAATTGTCAAAAGTGTTACACTACCTTGCATACGTCGAGTTTAAATTTATTTGAATTTTTAAAAAAATTATAACTTTCATTACAATAACAATCATCGATAATCGAATATATGATACACCGACAAAATTTTTATTATTATTATTTATTAATACGAGTCAAGTACAATGTATTATATATTTAAAAATAACTCTCAATCATTTAACATTAATTGTTCGTACCCCTTATATTGACGATGATTAAACCCAAAACCTCAAGAAATAACAACAATTCTTTTTACCACTGAGGTCACATGGTTTCGTGTAACAAATTTGATTATTTAAATTCAAATTGTTATTAAATTTCGAATTTAATTTAAAACAACCCCTTATCTATCATAAAAAAAAGGAATATCGATTACTAAATCAATTGTCACTTAATTATATAACTAAATAAGCAATTGAGTTGATTCGAACTTAAATGCATAGTATCTCAATCTTTACTAAAAAGAACGAATATAGAATTTTATGATATGGTACGAATTTTTAAAATTTTAGAAAAAGATAAATTGATAAAATATTATGGACGGGAAAAATATATTTTTAATAAAAAATATATAATAATTTTTAATTGTCAAAAAATTACTGTCACATCTGCACCCCTTCTATGCGTCCATGTTTACCTAGTATGGTAAGGTTTGCCATTGAAATGTTGGAAAGGCAAAGCAAGCAGAGCAACGTGCATTTGGCCCATGAATTGGACGGGTACGTGTTGGTGGGTGGATGAAGAAAGAGTTGTATTTGTATAACCGCTCCGATGCCATGACGTAGTATTTCATGTGAACTGGATGCCACCTTCAGGGTGAGAGCAAAACTCAGTCAAATAAATTTTTTTAATTCGATTTGATATTAAAATTTTGATTTGATTTATCATTTTATAAATTTAACTAAATTTGAATCGAATTAAAAAATAGAACTTGAATAATTCAATTTTTTTAGTAATTAATATATTGATTTTTATTTAAGTCGAGTCTCTTAACTCTGTATAGTGTATGTAATATAATATGAAAAAACACGAATAAATATATGTGTATTAGAAGAAATGTGATTTAAACAAAAACTCAAATAATTCGACTCGATTTAAAATTTTTTAAATAAAATTTGAATTATAAAATAAAATTCATCAACTCGAGATATTTTAACTCGATTTGGTTAAATACTCACATTAAAAATAAACTTAAAGGAGGATGAGTGAGGGCACTTCCCCAAAAAAAATCATATATATTTAATTATTTTTTATTAAAATATATATTTCGCCAACAAAATTTTATAAATTTATTCATTTAATATAAAATCTCGTGTACTCTTCATTCGTCCATAGTTAAATCCCATTACCCATTTGCTCCTATTTATCCAACAACTCTCTCTTCGCCTTTCAATTTTAATCCATACCTATGCTTTCTACACGTATTATATTATTATATCATCAAATCATAATACGTAAAATACATTAATGATTATCTAATTTTTAATATAACTTTTAAATTAAAATTAAAACATCGTGACACCGCTCATGTGCTATTTTTTTTAATAATTAATACTATTTAATAAAATGATAATATATGTTATCATTTTATTGATAAAAAAATATAAAATATATATATGTATTAGGTGAGATTCGAACATCAACTTTTTAAAAAGAGTCGAAGACCTAAGCACTGAACCAAATTTAAAAATTAATACATTCTTGATAAAATAATCTCTATGTTATAACGTGATTGAAAATAATTATATTTATTAAAAAGAAAAGAAAAGAATATAAATTATAAATTTTTATAATTTTTAAATGCATAAAAAACATAACACAATATAAACAAGTATATTTTTAATAATCGAAGGATATGAAATATAATTCTATAATCAAAATATTATTTGTATGATTTATATTATCTTATTTATTTTTACCTGTTATTAGAGTTAAATAATTATATGGTAATATTTATTTAGAATATTTTCTGTTACCATCACATTATTTATTTGTTTGGGTAAATGAAGTTAATATGATTTGGTGGGGGTGAAAATTAACCTTTTTTCCGCCAAAAATTCCAGCTTCAGTAATTCAATTTAAACCCCCTTTCCCCCACAGTAGTAACTTCAATGAATTCCTAATTCCAAGCAGAAAAGAAGCTGCGTTTTTTGATAAACCAGTCGAGTTTTGGAACTATTAGATGGCGACACTATACGCGCTGGTTGCGCGTGGATCGGTGGTGCTGGCGGAGTTCACTGCGGCGTCGACGAACGCCAGCGCCATTGCCAAGCAGATCCTAGAGAAAATACCGGGAGAAAACGACACTCACGTTTCGTATTCACAAGATCGCTACATCTTCCACGTCAAACGCACTGATGGACTCACCGTTCTTTGTATGGCTGACGAAAGTGCCGGAAGTATGTCAATCACCTCTCTTAGTTCTTCTTTTTCGTTTTCCATCTTTTTTTTAATGAAATTTGACGAAAGTGACGCGATACGCTTACAATGGAATTTCAATTGCTTTGCTAAGTCTTATTAATCTGTTTCCGATCCTGAATTAAAGGGAAAGGGGAGATATTAGTATGTGATTGAGAAGAAAGTTGGAGTAGTATGTTTGGTTGACAATCTAGGGTTTGATTAAAAGTTTAAAAGTGCAGTCTCAATTTTAGAATTTGAAAATGGTAAATGCTATTTTCCAAAAAGTTTTGGCTCATCTCCTTTGAAGGATCCTTTCTAGTCTTTGTTGATGAGTTGCAAACATAATATTTATGTTATCCAGAACATTCTTTTGATTTTCACTAGTCAAATTGAGAATTTATAGCTAGAATTCTTTGTGGTATGCAAGCTAAGTTACTCGGGTTCGGGTGTGAGAGTTATAAACGGATATATTCAAAGAAGTTTTCAAGTTTTTCCATGTACTTGCAGGGTGTAGCCCATCATGTATGGATATGCTTTGGATTCTGGAGTCCGATACATGTGTTTCAACAAAAATTAAAATTTAAAAGTCAGAGCAACGTAGTTTGGAATGCTTTATGTATCTCTTCTTGCTAAGAACACTTTGGCTTGAATGGATTATGGTGGATGTCTTTGTTGTATCTTTTGCAGGGCGAATTCCTTTTGCATTTCTTGAAGACATTCATCAGAGATTTGTGAGAACTTATGGCCGAGCAGTATTTTCAGCTCTACCCTATGGCATGAATGATGATTTTTCAAGGGTATTGAGCCAGCAAATGGAATACTACTCGGGCGACCCTGGTGCTGATAGGATAAATAGACTAAAAGGAGAAATGAGTCAGGTATGTTTTGAATGGCTAGAAGCTGGTACTGCTTCTATTAATCTTCTTCTACTAGATTCTCATCAACTGGTTCTTTCTTGTATTTAATTTGAGAACAATGGTTTTCATTGAATACACAAGGATGATCATTTTACCTACTTTAAAGATCAACTATCTTGTTGTTTGCATCACATGGAATATGGATGTTCTATTTTGATAGACCATTTAACGTGCTACATTTAAGGTGACCCCCTACATTTAATTGTTACCTGCAGTATTGCCCTTTCATTCAACGGCATTTAACTTGCTTTTCTTGTTTTCCTTTTCTTTCTGGACCTTGGTCTCATGATGTTCTTGTACTCAAATAGGTGCGAAATGTTATGATAGAGAATATTGACAAAGTTTTGGAAAGAGGTGATCGGTTAGAGTTGCTGGTTGACAAAACTGCTAACATGCAAGGAAATACCTTTCGCTTTCGGAAGCAAACTCGCCGATATAGAAACACTGTATGGTGGAGAAATGTTAAGCTTATGTATGTTTTCTGAACTTCAACGTTTTGTACGTTTATACAGACTGCAAAAAGTTTGGAAGTTAAATTTACTAAAGAATAGTTTGCAGTTTGCTCCATGAAATAGAATAGATACAGGATTTGATGAATTTATCTCTCACTAACTTGTTTTGCATATTGCAGGATTGCTCTAATAATCCTCCTCCTAATTGTTGTTTACGTCGTGCTGGCTTTTGTTTGCTATGGGATTACGCTACCTACATGCCTAAAATGAGGTCAAAGAGTTTGAGATTCAAACACCTTTAGTAATCACTTGTCCCCTTTCCTCCTTGTTCCAGTTTTATTTGTTTGTTTTTAGTTATATATAATGTTATTGTCGAGTTTAATTTACTTTTTATTTATTCAGTGTGAAGAGCTAGAAATTTCATGCTTGTGTTTCTTTTAGGAATTTGAAATTGTTTGGTGGCTGCCTTTTGAAGGCATAGCTTCATGACTTGAATTCTACTGTGTTATTCTGTGTTAAAAAGTCATGTTTTCTTTGTTGCTACTCCTGTTTTGTATTCTTCAATGTTGTTTTAATTATACGCACAGCACTCCACCAGTGTACGAGTTGGTCACACATGTTTATGTAAACTTATTGATGGGAAAAGTGGGATCGTGGGGCTATTGACAGTTCACTCCTTTTAATTTGGGTGAAGAGTCGTAACCGATAGATATATGGACAAACAAAAATACATGAAATATATCGCGAATGTAATGTAACAAAAATACTTAACATGATTAGAGATGAGGATTTGATTTGAATCTGATGGGTTTTGACCCGATCTTATAGGGTTGGTTTTTCTTTCAAAAAGGCAGGTTTGAGTCAAGATTTTTGGAAGGGTAAGTTCGAATCGGGTTTAAGTTTATGGTCATAATTATTTGACCCGACCCAAACTGGGAATAATAGTACAATTGACATTTATTTATTTAGTGATAATTATTATAATATCTCTTTATATTTCTTAGTTATATCACTATTTTACCTAATAAAATGAGAGAATATATATTTATATATATTTGTATCGAATTGGGTGTGAATTTTTTTCTCAAAAAATAAGTCAAGTTTTAGATGAATGATTTTTTTTTAAAATTCGGATCCCATCGAGTGAAAGGTGTGGAAGTTTTATACATAAATCAGATTTAAATGAGTTAAAAACTCAGCCTAACTTATGACCATCCTTAAACATGACAAAACAATGTTATTACAAAATTCTTTCAAGTATCTCTGTGTCTTCATGGTATTTTTTTTTAGCTACAATTCTATCCAATTTGTGAGTATACTCACAACGAAATGCAGACCTTTATCGAGTTAGTAAAACTGGGATTCCATTTAGATAATCTTCAAAACACCCAAGAACAAGGATGGCATAGATAATTAGATACATACACGGCTTTTGGAGCAATGATTACTTGCAAGGAAAACGAACAAGAAATTGTTAGAATCAAAACCTAACTGATATGAAATTAAAAATCTAGAATTTATCATTAAAAATAAAATATTAATACGAAAGTGTACTTGAATTAATTGGTAGGATGAAACCTTTTATTCTTTCTTTGGTTATGTTCTTTAGGAATGAGAGTAATATAAATTAACTTATTTCTTGAGACCAATATTTCTTTATATAAATTGAATATTAGGCTAATCTTTTAAGTATTTATTATTCTGTCTTTCGTCAAACTATAAATACAACCTATGGTACATATGCTTTAATTTCATAACACTTCAATACATATGACACATGAAACATAATTAATCACTTAATGTTATATTATATTTTATGATAACATTATGATTATAGATTTTAATACATGAGAAATCAAATGCATTTGACTTGTGTACATGTCCACTCCACATAATTTTGCTTTGGAACCACCTCCACTCGGTTATAAAGTTTTGGACATTGTTCCTATTTAACCTAAGCTGCTAAATACCGAGAACCCTCAAAATAGTAAGAAAAAGGCCCTATTTATCCTCCAATGAATTTGCAAAACCGAAGCTGTCTTTTCTCTGTTTTATTGGTCTTCTTCTTCCTTGTTTCTTCCACAAGAAAAAAAAAACAGAAAGAGAAGGGGAAAAAAGAGACTTCTTTGGTTCATTCTCTCTAATAATCTTATGCACCATTGCCCTTGTTTATCACCACATTCGTACTGTAAGCTCCTTGTTTCTTTCTTACATGTTGGTGTCTGGTTTTTCCTTTTCTGATTCAATGTTTCGAGTTCAATCGTTTTCGGTTTTGCAGCATGATGGTTTGTTGGCCTTACTTCGATCCCGAATTCGAAAATCTCCCTGACCGGATCTTTGGTCCCCCGTGAGCAATCTATACCTTTAATATAAGCATTTTGACATGATTATTTGACAATCTTATGAGCATGGTTGCCTTGCAGATGTAGGGTTTGCATTGACAATGACAGCATGGAGGAATGCACAGATATTAAGGTAACCAATCTTATATATATATTTTGTGTTTCATGTTCGTTTTATGTTTGTTTTAGGATCTATGTTCTCGTAGGTAGATAGCGTGAACAAGCAAGGGATCCTCCTAGAAGTGGTGCAGGTGTTGACGAACATTAATCTTATCATCTTGAAAAGCTACATTTCCTCTGACGCTGGATGGTTCATGGATGGTATACATATATGTAGATGATGAAAAACTTACAATGCTTTAATTCAAAAATACCTTATTTTGGGTTCACTAAGGAGAAATGGATGTTAGGGGGGAAAAAATGAGATTTAAAGATTATATCAGATTAATTAGATAGACGAAGTCCTCGTCAGTTGAAATTGACTTCGATAAAGTTGTCGATAGCAGTCGACGACTTTGCTTTAATTGTTTTTATACTTTTTAGACTAAATTGAAAGAAAAATAAAAATATAAGGATTAAAATAAAATTTTATAAAAACATTCTTATTTTCCAAATTAATCCAATACCATTTCCAAATCCTTAATCTTTTTTCAGCATTCATTTCTCCTTAATTTTATCCCTGGTTTGCTGTCTTTTATTTGCAGTATTCCATGTTAAAGATGAGCACGGCAACAAAATTAGAGATCAGAATGTAATTAACTATATCCACCAGGTGAATATCGGTGTAGTTTCGATGCTTGCATTTTTATTAATCGAGTTAATTGTATTATATGTCCAGAATTATAGTTTAAATTTTAGATTAATCTAACATCTAAAGATTTAATATCATTTATGTAAATTATTGTCGTTAATTTAGTCGTGTGAGCGTTAAATGTTAACTTAGATACGATGTATACGCATTTAACAGGCCATAGGTACAGTCAGAGAGATCGAAAACACAGTCAGGGCCTGTCGCCATGACATTTCGAATAACTCCGACCAACTAAGCGAGCACACCGCTATAGAAATCAGAGGAACGGATCGACCGGGTCTGTTTTCGGAGATATCCGCAGCCTTAGTTGATCTGCACTGTAACATTATAGAAGCACACGCATGGAGCCACAATTCTCGTTTGGCTTGCGTGGCCTACATTTCCGATCAATCCACCGACACCCCAATCGACGAACCCCACCGCCTCGCCATCATAGAGGACCACCTCACCACCGTGCTACGGGCCAATACTACACCTACCCCAACCGGGTCATCCGAGCCGGCCAGCCCGCAGGAAGTGAAGACGGCTGAGTTAGGTGAAGGCACCAATATGACTGATGTGGAACGTAGGCTGCATCAGCTTATGCTATCAGTAGGGGATTTCCATCGGCCAGCGTTCGAGCCAATAGCGCTACTGCCGCCACCGAGACCGAACGGCGATGAGGACGGAAGAAAAGCGATAGTATCGGTCGAGAACTGCGATGAAAAATGGTACTCCATCGTCAGCATACAATGTAAAGATAGACCAAGGCTCATGTTTGATACTGTGTGCACCATCACTGATATGCAGTACGTAATTTTCCACGCATCAATCAGTTCCCACCATGGTAGAGCATTCCAGGTATACATATATATTCGATTAATATTTGATACATCGACGATATATAATACATATAATATCGTAATTTATTATGAAATAAAAGGAATATTTCATAAGACACGTAGATGGATACGCATTGAGTTCGGAAACCGAGAAGGAAAATGTCGTAAAATGCTTGGAAGCAGCCATAGAGCGACGTGTCTGCGAGGTATATATATAACACTTACAACCATCTATTTTTTTATTAGGGACGGAACAATACATTATACACATGTGCTCACAATTACAGATTTTAATTCAATGTTGTTTCGTCTTTCAAAGGCTTTTTTAATCTTCTCTCTTATGAATCATCAGGGGATCCGACTAGAATTGAGTGCAGAGAATCGGATCGGGTTGCTGTCGGATATAACTCGAGTTCTGAGGGAGAATGGGCTGAGCGTCGTTAGAGCGGATGTGAAAACACAGGGAGAGAGGGCGGTGAATGCTTTCTACTTGAAAGACATTCTGGGGAACGAAGTCGGCAAGGATTACGTGGAGTCGGTGAAGAAAGAGATGGACGACGTTATATATTTTGAAGTGAAAGACGGTGGTAATAACAACAGTGGCGATGACGGTCAGTGCCAGTCAAGTTCGTCGGGATTATTTTCTCTTGGAGATGCTCTTAAGTGTCAAATCCAACGCATTTCTCATAATTTCATGCCCATCAATTAACTAGTGATGTCGATGTAAATAAATCACTTGGGAAGGAGTATGATTGTAATTAAATAAAAAGACATGGCTCCACTGTGAATAAGTATAGAATATTGTAAATATATACCGATTTGTACATATAAACCCCCACCCAAAAAAATGTACATATACATATACTCAATGTTGTGTATAAAAATAAAACTTTAATTATACTTATTTTATACTTTTAGTACGTGATATTAGTCTTTTAATGTTCACAAGTTATTGGTCCTTGTGGCATTACTTCCATATCCTTTGAAGGTAGCGTTGGTGAACTCACATCACATTTAAGAGAAATTTTATTTTTATTTTTGTTATTTGTTACGACTTTCGGAATACAATAAACTTTCATCTCTTACGTATATCTTAGTTCATATCGTTCTTATATTTTAAATCACTTTTCCACTTCCAAATCACTAGCAAGTGATATCGTAACTATAGTTTAAGTTGTGGAGTTTCGAATGAATTTGTTGTTGCGAATTTTGTCAGCGATATTAGAAACATATAAGAGAATTTTACTGCAATGAGTTTTCACATACTCGGGGATCATTTTTTTCTTTTGAATAGTTGGGGATGATTACAATATAATAGTTATTCATAATATGGTCTTAGTCATTAATAACGCATGCACACCGTACATACACAGTTGTTTGAACTCAAGACCTCTAGGGATAACAGCACTCCATTTAACCATTGAGGCCATTAATGGGTTCAATGAATATTGCTTCAAACAATATTAAGTAAAAATTGAAGTTGTTGAAGACTTTAAGTCTAATTTATTTGTGCTGGGGAAGGTTTTACCTATTGATTAAAATTATAATCGATAATTAAGTTGTAATTATTGTAATTCTAATCATTGAATAATTGGTAATTATTATTATAGGGTAACAATGAATACTTGATTAAAACTATAATCAGTTTGTTTAATTCATAATATCATAATTCAAACTATTAACCTTGTTCGAGGGTTTAACTAAAACATAGATGTCCTTTTACCTATTAAACCATTTTTATATATAATATTTAAACTATTTGTTGACATAGGATAAAAGACAAATAATATTGTGTGAGCATAATATTTGTGTTACTATATTGATTATCATATCAGCACAGTCAAATATTTAACGTTTCAGTTGATATTTTTATCAAAAATAGTTATTTATGAAATTTAACTAAAAATTAATATAAATAATTAAAAATAAGTTTATGATAAAAATTAAAAGCATATATATTTTAAATATGTCTATAGCACTTCACCTAATTAGGTTTTGATATAAAAATACTTAACAACTAGGTGAAGTGTATATATATATATATATATAAGAAGCCTATATCAATGTGTCGTTTAAGGTATGAGGTCTTTATTATCAACTTTAATGTGATCTAATAATAAATTTTGTAATTATCTGTATCCACTTCTCTTTTGATACATCCCTAAATTAATAACATATTCGATAAATAATTTGATTTTTTATTTTTAAAGAAAAATTTAACTATAATTTAGTGGATGATTGAAGATATGACTTATATACACGTGTTATTGTCTCTCGACTTATTATCGTGCAAACACGTGTCTTTGACATGTGTCCTAAATATTTCTTTCGTTTAAAATAAAATTCATAATATTTTTTACAAGTATAAAAATACACTATAAAAATATGGAAAAACCCTAAATAAACACGAACTAATACTATTTCACTATTTTGTTTCGACTGCATTGTATCACTAAATTAGCCTTTTATTTTATATATGAATTAATTTATCTATTTTTAATATAAAGATCAAAATACAATGAGGACTGCTGTAATGGTTTTAAGGGTAAACTACACTTTTAGTATATAAACTGTTACTTTTGTTTTGTTTTGATACCGATATTTTATTTTATTTCAAAATCATATATACGTTTAGTTTAGGTTTCATTTTTATACTTGTTGTTAAAAAATTCACAGAAATGTTGACGTAATATTTATTTTATTTTTTCAATGATGATGTGACATTACCTTACGGTGACACGTCAATGTTACTGTTAAGTTTTTAAAGGCGGATACCAAAATGAAACCTAAACTAAACGTTAGATATGATTTAAAATAAAATAAAATGAGAGTACCAAAATGGAATAAAACTAATAGTTTTCATACTGAACATGGCATTTACCCTACTTTCAATTGCAGCACTCTTTCTGTGAGCCACGTAAGTACAAACGAATCTTGGTTACGAAAATGCTAAGTTTTGTCTTGTACTAAATCTTGGATTACTTGCAAATTATTGTTGACACCTCGCAAAAGGATCGTGTTGAAATGAATCCGAATAAATAAGCACCCGAACATGATTAATTCCAAAGTTGACGTTATTTAATCAACAAATAAATGTTTTTATTAAAACCAATAAATAAATATTCCTATAAATACAAATAATAAATAATATTATATTTCATTAATTTCAGAATTTATTTGGTGACACAGAAAGAGGAAGACATGAAATATAAATTAATTTTTGGGGGTTAGTTTTAGCGAAACTGCTCAAACTATAGCTTATATTTTAAATTGATTTGTAACTTTAAAATATTTTAATTTAATCATCAAAGTATATATATTTTACCCATCAAGTTATTTAGTCTACTTAAACATTAGTTTTAACATTAAATATCGATTCAAATCTAACATCGAAAATAAGTATGTATTTTACATTGATAACTTAAATTTAACGTGTTAATAAAAATTCACATATAATATTTTTTTGAATGAACACATAATAGATATACATGTCACGAGATTATTTTCCTCTTTCCAAAAGATAACATCAACCCTTTTAAATTCTCGAATCTTTTTTTTTATAACATGATGTTAATCTCTCACACCTCTCCAAGGTGTGACATTCTCTCTCACTCAATTTCGTGATGCCCTTGTCACGAGCCTTCGTCGTAGTTGTTCACTTTACCATGCCTAATAGAGCGCTTGACATAAAATCAAACATTTAAAGGGTCACTTTAATACCACTTATAACGAGACCATTATCTTCTTCACAAAAGACATGTATGATGTGATGTACAACGTCATCAGATTTAAACTTAATAATCCTTTTTTTTCTTTTTAATATGGGATTAATCTCTCTCATTTTCAAGATGAGACATATATTCACACTTTAGTTTTAAGAATTCATGTAAATATCCAAGACGACATTTATAACATAAAAATGATGATTATGATGATAAAAATGTTAATCGATATGACTTGATGTTAGAGGATTCAATCAAAATGTTTCAAAATTCAAGAATCAATTTAAAATATAAATGATAGTTTAGCACGTTAGATAAAATTACCCTTTTCTTCATTTGAGTCAAGAAGGGATTACTTTACATCTGAGTCCTTCCATCTCCATTTTTTTGCAACAACTCTTCTTTTTGGCTATTTCTTAATATATTTGGAAGGGTATTCCTTTGTCTCCTGGCTACTACTTACCTGCCGCGCTTCAATTCTTTTTCCTTTTTCGTAGGCTTCAATATAGAGTCTTCCATTGCCTCCAGGCTATTACTTACCTGCCGCCCTGCAATTCTTTTTTCCTTTTCGTAGGCTTCAATATTGAAGCCTACGCTATATTGGATCTTGCATTTAAACGTAAGGTGTCGGCGGAAGGTCAAAAGGCCATAAAGACTTGGTTAAAAGATCTAGCTGAAGCAACAGTTTAATCTTTGGAATCAATCCCTGCGATTTTTGCCTGAATCCGGGTATTTTTCTGATCTGTAATGGGTTGGAGATATAAGGCTGGCCTGTTCTTTATATGTACTGTTGTTGTTATCTGGGTAACATCCGCAGAAGTAACCCAGGTTGGTTTTCCATTCTTTGAATTTCGGTTCATCTATCCATGCCTGTGTATTTGTTCGTGTTCTTGATCAATTACTTCATTTTCTGGGTACAATTGAAATGTTTGAAAGTGTTTTCCCTTTTTATTAGCAAAGGCTGCAAGATATTGGAGGTCTTGTTTCATTAATCCATCGTATTTTTTTCATATTTATTGTTGATTAATTGGGTTTAATAATCCATGATTGCTTAACGTAATTGAATGATTGAATCTTGTATGTATCCTATCCTGTTCAGCTGAATAGGCTATCATAAATTCTGAATGCAATTTTGAGGGGGCTAGGGGTTTATCCCCTAAAATTTTATAATTCGTCGCCAAATACAAAATCCTGAGTCCGTCCCTGTGTTCTTCTTCAAACTCTGTAGTCTAGCTCTAGCATATTATCATGTTTAACGAATGCATTAAAGTGTTTTGAAGGTAGTTGAATTTCGAACTAACTGATGTCTTGTGTGCAGGATATTTTTGCTGACTATAAGCAACCATTCGCAGTTACATATCTTGGAGCTTCTCTCCTGGTAATTTACCTTCCGGTAGCATTTATAAAGGACTGGGTATGTAACTTGCTACGACGCCGTTCCTCTAAAACTGTTAAAGATATAGAAAGCTTAGACGAGACTTCCACTGAACTTAATTCTCCTCTAAGGCACAAAATATACGAAATGGAACTTCAAGGGACTTTGGTTAGGAAGGACAGCGGTGCAGATCTTTCACCTCACATAGAGGGTAAGCCGTTGGTTCCTAAACAAAAAGATGAACTGCAGTTTATGAAACAGGACAAAGCCCTTAGCACAAGGGAGATCGCTACCTTTGGATTTTATATTGCTCCGATCTGGTTTGTAACAGAGGTGAAAATTTCAAAGCATCCTTTATTCTTTTATTCTGTTAAAGTTTAGCCTCGAGTTTGTGCATTGAATAAGCAATGAATTCTCCCTCAAAAGAGTAGTACTGAGAAGTATTATGCACTGTTTTTTTTATATGAATCATACGAGCAAAGTAGCCAAAAGAGTTATTGCCAACAGTTTTTGGTTGTTGCAGTATTTATCAAACGCTGCTCTTGCACGTACAAGTGTAGCGAGTACAACGGTGCTGTCCTCTACTTCAGGACTTTTTACACTTTTTATTGGTGCTTTTCTGGGTCAAGATTCATTGAATGTAGCAAAGGTGGTTGCTGTATTTGTCAGCATGGCCGGTGTTGTTATGACTACTCTGGGAAAAACTTGGGCTGCCGACGATTCAATAGGATCCGCGTAAGTTCATTTCATCTGTAATGCTTTATCTTGGTGTTGCTATTTTCATGTAATCAATAGTGCTTCCAAAGCCACCATATTTAAAAAGAGGCAAGTTAGTCCAGGTGTACCTTTAGTTTCTTCTAAAGCATTTGGATTACTCTCAAAACTTTCTGCAACGATTTTCTCGATTGTGATAAAGGAAATATTAGTGATTGGAATTGCTTTTGTTATTATCATAATGAAAGTGATAATGAAGTTTCATCTTGTAATGTAAGTTTTTACCATTGACGGTTAATGTTTGATTTTTTAGCAACGGGAAACGCTCTCTTGTTGGTGATCTTTTCGGCCTCCTCTCCGCCATTTCATATGGGTTATTTACAGGTCTGCCTGAAGCTCTTGTTTTAATTCGTTTACTTCTTATCCATTCTTAAGGAAAATTGTAATCGTCTCATCTTCCCTTTTTTTCAAATATGTTGCAGTGCTGCTTAAAAAGTTTGCTGGAGAAGAAGGAGAAAAGGTCGATGTTCAAAAGCTATTCGGATACATTGGACTCTTCACACTTGTAGCACTATGGTGGCTGGGTAAGAAATTTTCGAGATTTTATGTTCTTATTAAATAAGTAATCGAAATGGGTTTGCAAATTCTTGTTACGGCATTTAATCCCTCCATTTAATTAGCAAATTAATTACTCCTTCGAATTCTGTTTCAGTTTGGCCATTAACAGCCTTGGGAATAGAACCGAAATTTACAATTCCACACTCCGCTAAACTGGATGAAGTAGTCCTTGCAAATGGCTTTGTTGGAAGTGTCCTCTCTGATTATTTTTGGTATGCACCCTTTATTCCCAAGCACTTTCATGAATTCATGCATTCTTAATCTTTGTTCAAATTTCGTCTTTTTCTCTAGGGCCTTGTGTGTTGTGTGGACGACTCCTCTAGTAGCCACATTAGGCATGTCACTTACCATCCCTCTCGCAATGGTGGCTGACATGCTCATTCACGGCCGTCATTATTCGGCAATTTACATTCTCGGCTCTGCTCAGGTAAAAATCCACCGTCGAACACATGGTGGTGTATTAGAGTTTCGCGTGATGGTCTGGTTTTATCTTTTGACATTCGTTTACGGTATCGAATTTGCAGGTGTTTGCTGGATTTGTAATAGCAAATCTCTCAGGTTGGATGACTAGAAAGTTGGGATTGTAGCATTTGTGGAAACCGTCAATCATATAACTCAACTAGAACACATATTCATCATTCTTTATCAGGAGCCCTTATCTCTCCTTTCATTTGTTGCAATACACTTGGTTAAAAACTTTGATTTGTTAACAGAAATGATGAAAGTAATGTTATTGTTTGCACATCTTGTAAATGACATCTCATCTTTTCCATTTTTGTTTTGTTTTGGCATCGAGCCCTAATTGTAAGATACTTCTCTTTAATCAAAGGATATAATTTCTCTTCATGTGATGCTTCAAATAGGGGTGTGCACTCTTTGAATTGGTTGGTTTGGTTAATATATAAATATATAATCAATTTACACTAAAATAACCGAATAAATCGAATTGATATTTTCTACTTTTTAAGACTTATTTATAAAATAAAATATTGTCATGATAAAATTAAACATTTATATGTAACTAACTTTTTAAGGGAGCAAGAGGTATTCGTCAAGGTCCCTCTTTTACCCATCCTCTTTGTTCTTTCAATGAATATTCTTTCTTCCATGCTTAATCGGACTGTTGCAAGAGGACTTTTTAATTATCATCCTAAATGCAAGAAAGTAGGAATCACCCACTTATCATTTGCTGATGACCTGTTAATATTCTGTAAGGGTAATGTTGAATTAGTAATTGGTGTCATTACTGTTCTTGAAAGCTTCTATGAGATGTCTGGTCTGAACTTAAATGCAGCAAAATGTATGTTCTTCACTGCTGGAATTTCTCTTAGCCACATCGAGCATATCAAGCAAGCCACAAGGTTCACATATGGTGTTTTACCTGTTCGATACCTTGGGGTCCCATTGATAACTCGTAAACTCTCTGAACATGACTGTGAATCCCTCATTGCAAGTATTAAAGCTAGGCTCGCACTATGGTCTGGTAAGAATCTGAGTTACGCAGGAAGACTTGAACTCGTTTGAGCAGTATTGTTCAGCATTGCTAATTATTGGTGTCGGCAGCTTCCCCTTCCTCAAGCCATAATCAACAAAATTGAAGAACTTTGCTCTAGGTTCTTCTGGAAAGGCTCTGACAAAGCTGTTACAGGTGCAAGAGTCAGCTGGATTGAAATCTGTCAATTAAAATATGAGGGTGGTTTTGGGCTGAAAAAACTAAAAGAATAGAATAAAGCTTGCTTGATCAAACTCATAAAGAATTTATTGACTGGAGAGGGCTCATTATGGATTGCTTGGATCCATGCTTACGTAATGAAGGATAGTAATCTGTGGCAAATGGAAAGCAGAGCCAGTTTCAGTTGGAGTTTCAATCGTATCCTTAAATTGCGCAGTGAAGCAACCTCACTTATTTCGACTGGTGCATTTTCCATTAAAGATATTTGGCAGGAAATTAGGGTGAAGGAGAACAAAGTTCCCTGGCATTCACTGATTTGGTTCCTGCAGCATATTCCCAAGCACAGTCTCATTGCTTGGATGGCAATCCTAGATAGATTGCCAACACGAGACCAACTGATGCGAATGAGAATTATCACAGAAGGGAATTACGTGCTGTGCAACGATAAATTGGAATCAAGGAACCATTTGTTATTTGACTGCGACACTGCTTCAAATTTATGGAAAAATATTCTGCTACTCAGCAGCATTAACAAACACTGCTCAACATGGGAGGAATTGCTAGTTTGAGCTTATAGCTATTGGAAAGGAAAATATCTCTTATCTACAATCCTAAAGCTTGCCTGGTGTGCTTCCATTTATCTATTGTGGGAGGAGCGTAACAGACGAATATTTAGAGGATGTTACCGAGCCAACGACGATCTCCTAACTTGCATCAAATATTTCGTAGGAATCAAGCTTAGGGAGAAAAACATTAATAGGGCTGATAGAGTTAACTCTAACCTTTGTTTTTCATGGGGTATAATTTAGAACCGATCTGATATTTTTGTATGTAGTTTGTATATAATGTTTTGTGATCGGTTATTTTTGTAGCATTCTATGATTCTTTGAGTAATAAAATTGATGAATTATCTAAAAAAACTTTTTAAGACTTCTTTGTTAATTGGAGTCCGTAAAAACTTGTTTTCGGAGCATAAAATTTCAAGTCAACTACAGTTTACAGACAAGACATCTGACAAATCCAAGATATGATTGTCAATTCTTGTAAGTACATGTCGTGTAATATTTTATCTTAACCTATTTTTCTATTACGGAGAATTCATGTAATATTGTAAATATGTGACATGTGTCATGCTTCTAGAGTGTGATGGAGAATTTTTGTAATAAAAAAAATAGTTGGGTACTGTGCATCATGTTTGAAAAATTCAAGAACTAAATTGAATAAAAAAATTCTTTCGATACCAAAGTGATAATAAGATATAATTTCAGGAGTTAAAATGCTAGTTAATCCTCTTAAAAATATTGACAGAAACGCTAATTTTTTTTATTTAATTGAAACCAAATTTCAATTTAAACCCTCCACGATTCAATCATTCTCTCTCCTATACAAAAACAAAACCCCAAATCATGGCCCATATGAAAGCCCAGATTCAACAGGCAGCACAAAGTGAGAAGAACCGATTTGAAATCCAACAAATTTCTTCTGGTTTTCATCAACTGTTGAAGCTCCCGAATTATCTAAGCTGCCATGGCACAGATCGCACCGTCACTTTTGCTCGTGCTTCTCTCAATTGCATTGACAATTTCATCAGGGTACAACGCCTGTTCCTTTGATAGTCCCGCTTTCCTTTTGTCATCGCTGAAAAACAATAAATTTAACTCTGATTGGATTCTTTTCAACTTCGGATTTCTTATATTTGATACTCCTGGTTTCAGCTAAAATTAATATAAGTGAATTGTTTAGTTTTTTGTTTGCTTTATAGTATTTGGATCTTTTAATAGGTTTTCAACTTTTTGTTTATTTACCTGCTTTTGGGCAGGTCTGGAGATGGATTCACCATCAACGGTCGAGTGAAGATCCCCCAAGGTAATTCGACCCCTTTTATTTTTGTATTTGATTAGATTTGTACTGTTTTTTTTCTTTTGGCAAAATAATATTATTATCTGGTGATTTTGGTTGTTTTGGATCTTTGCTACATACTAATTTAGTGATTTTCTTGTGATGGTGTTCATCTCACTATAGCATGAAAGTAGATAGATGACGTTAATTATCTTTTCTGTTGATTTCCAGTGTTTACATAAATGGTGGTTTATTATGCAATGCAGCCTTTGTATAGATAATTAGATATATTTGAATTTGTTTTTCAAATTTTCATTAGGACAATTTATGTTCCCTTCAGTGGCATATACGTGACCTTGCTGAAATCTGAATTTTATTCAGTTAATTATTTATTTTATTAATTGTACCTACCCCATGAGAAAATTTTGTGTTATTAATGTAGTGTGCCCATTCTCAAAAATATTTTTGGATCCGCCACTGGTCCCTTTATGTTATGTAATAAGATGTGGGTGATATAAATTCATCCCTCAGAACCTATAAGCCTCATTGCAGATTCTATATTTGAGAAATTGGCATTTCACTTTATATTTGTTCCTGTTATGATATGTTGTCTCTTATTTTATTTCATGCAATGACCGATGACTTTATTTGGCAGGTCTGGGTACAAAAGGGCTTGCTTTGCCCTGAAAAACGTCAAATGTGAAAGTTATACTCAATGGTGGTCAAATTGTTACTTATCTGAGACCTGATGGATATTTTTCATTTTATCCTAAAATTTATCAGTTTCTTTTAAATTTGGGGGCTGGGGTTGCTAGGGTTTTGAACTCAAGTTTTCACTCCTCACAAACCTTCTGCCACTTAGGCCAAGAAGTTGTTGGCAATTCTTATGCATAACTCTGATTGAAAATCAATATATTTTACTTTTTTTTCTTTGCCCTTTTAATACTGTTTTTCTGTTATTGAATAATGAGATATTGTGTAACGTGGGTGGTAGTAAATATTTCCTCTGAACTATTATAATTCCTTAATATAAATGCCTAAAGCCAGAACATATCAGCTGGGACTCATTTGATTGAAGTGGCAGCAATTGGCTATTTCTTTTCTCCTGTAAGATTTTCTTTCTTGCCCGACTCTTGGAGAATTTTAATCATCAAATTATTTTGGTTTTTCTTCATTAACATTAATGCCTTTCAATCTTTCATAGGTTAGAGTTGATGTTAGTACTAGAAACCCAGGCAAGGTACAGGCAGCATTAACGGAGAACAGGAGGGGTCTCAGTGAATTGGTTTTAGAGCCATCGAGAGAGGAACAATATTACGAGGTTAAGGAGCCTTTTGCTATATATGTTATGTTTCCTTTTGTTTGCAGTTAGTGTCTATCCTTTGCCTCATGTTTATCCTACTTTATTGCAGATTAGGGAACCTCTCTCCATAATGAATATTGTGAAAAGCCCAATGGGTCTCATGGTGGGATTTATGCTGGTGGTGGTTTTCTTAATGCCCAAATTAGTGGAAAACATGGGTAAAGTGCTCTTCTACTAGCTCATAACTTGGTAGCTTTCTTGAAGTTCCTACTTGCAATAGATTTATAAGAGTTGATTTTGATGGAGAATATGCTCTGCTTAATTACTTGCTTGCATTTGTTTTCTTGATTGGGATAAAATCTCCTATATTGCCTATTTTCTGCTTGCAACAGATTTATAAGAGTTGATTTATAATAGTTTTGCTGCAATTCATTTTTCCCAAACATTACATTTTTTGAACAATTCATTCTATCATTTTCTAATTACAATTTTGCCAATCTTTTATTCTTGGGTTTTACGAATACAACTTTCTTCTGCAGGTGCTTCTAAATGCTCCTGCCCCTCTCATTGTATAGGCTAGAAATTTCATTTTTCCTAATTTTGTCAACCTCTTATCTATTGCAACAGATCCAGAAGAAATGAGGCGAGCACAAGAAGAAATGAGAAACCAAGGAGTTCCCTCTTTGGGTAGCTTGTTACCAGGAGGTGGGAGGAATTGAGTGTTTGAGCAAAAACCATGAACTCAAAGTTACTTTCCTGCAAAATCAAGGGCAGTTCGAATGTCAAGCTGGATTGGTTTTCTTCCCTAACATTGATTGTATAGTTTGCGGAAAGAATAGATGATGCCCATTGAATTCTTGGTGGCATCTCAAAGGTAATGTAGTTTTTTACTTTTTACTTTAGTTGCAAAACTTATCCTGTGATTAAATTGATACAACAGCTATTCATTGTTGTGATGCTTTGATGTCAGAAACAAAGATAAGTTAGAAATATTATTGTTATGGCATGATGGGTTTTGTTCGCTTGAAGAATTGACAATACCGTGAAATGAAATCTAAGTACTTATTTCTTTATTTACAATTATTTAACTGAATATTTACTTCTTGATGATTGTGTTTGGATATAAGCTTAAAAAATTCCCAGTTTATTTATGAGGTTGATTTAGCTTCTCGTTTATCAACTCTCCTGTCTCACCTTTGGAGGTATGGTCTCTCCCCGCTAAATGGAGCTATCTGAGCTTCCGATGGCTATTCTATTAGTAGATATCAAGCTTTGCAATGTATATGTATAGGGTTTTGTTGACGATGTTCACCATTTGGTTGATTTATGATGCCATTCTGAAACCTTAGCTGGTTGAAACAATATAGATTTTTGGGCATGAATAACATAACCTGAAGTTGAGCCTTGGTCCGGTCTGGCTCAGCCATGGATACCTTTAATGTAGGCAAACGCTTTTGCCTTCATGGTTAGTAAAGCCTCTAGTAACATTAGTGTCAAGTAGCAACATTTCCCACAAAAGCATTCTTTGATCCTCGACAACATCACTCCTTAGCATGAAGTTTCTTCAGCACATATCCCATTGAACAAGACAATGCTGAAATGTTTCATTCATGATTTGGTAGCTTGGCGAGCTTAAGCATTTGAAATTTTCACTATGACTTTCTCCTTTACAATCACCATTTACCACCGGATTCGTTATCTAAGAGTCAGTCTAATATTTTTCTCCGTCCTCTACCACACCTCCTCCTACTATAACAAAGAACCCATCATCTTTCTAGGACCCCTCATTTTACTACAGCAAAGGATCCTTTGCACTCTATATATGATGTTTAGATGTTAATGTGTTTGTAAAGCTAATTAATTAAATTCCCATTTTACTGGCATTCTTCTGAACTGATATATTTCTAGTCTTTATCGTTGAATTTTATTGTTTACATGGTCTAGGCTTGTCTATAATTAAGAAAAAAGTAGCATTATAATTAAATTAAGTTCATATTTTGGGCATTAATGTGACAATGTTTTCTGTACTCCTAACAAGCATTTCAAGAGCCGCATTATATCATCGAATATAAATCAACAACGTATTCCACTTTTAATATATCGTAATTTCATAAACCTTTCCAATCAAAGACGTAATCATAATCAATTCATTATAAAACTAGAATTCCAATTTACAAAATATGAATTTTCGTATATCAAATTAGAGCTTACAGATCAGAATAGAAATAAGGGTCTTACGATATATATATATATATATATATATATATATATATGCTCACTAAATATTGTTAAGAAATTTAAAGCCATAATTTGCTAAGGAATTTTATATCTATGGGCACAGAGATCCCTAAGAACATCACAAACCTTAATCGAAAAACGTCTTGAAATAAAATTAATTGGTTTTCAATGCGCAAAATCTCACCACCCTTGAAAAATATTGACCAATGGGTCCAATCGTAAACAAGATGATTTGGCTCTAAAGCTATATAAATCCACACAGATGCCCATCAGAAACCTCAATCAGAACAATGGCTTCTTCCTGTAATGTTGTTGCAATTCTTGTTATGGGTCTTGTCAGCCAAGGTGAACTTCTGCGTCTTGTAAACAATATAAACTAGAGATGAGTAATCGATCTAGTCGAGTCGAGTAAACAAAATTTCGAGTTAGTCGAGTCGAGTTGTTCGAGTAACATGTTAGACTAAGGGTTTTTCGAAATTTACGTGCAGGGTTTTGTTGCTCCTTGGAAGACATCGTGATCGGCACCGTGAGAACGGGAGTGGAGATACAAGGGAAGCCTGAATGGAAAGTGACGGTCACCAACAACAGCAAATGCGCTCAACATGAACTCAGGGTTACTTGCCAGGGATTCCAGACTGTTGAAGCCGTGGATCCGAGCATTTTTAAGCAGGAAGGTGACAAATGCCTCGTCAACCATGGCAATGCTTTGAATGGTTTCGGTTCAGTCAGCTTTTCGTATCCTTTTATCATGTTCCCTTCTAGTTCCGTTGTCGAGGACTGTTAGAACTCAAAAATATCAAACATAAGGTTATTATGGATCATGTTCCCTTCTACTTTGATCATATAACAAAAAAACTATTATTCAAGCTACTATTAACTTAATTTCTATTGTAAACCTTTTATGTTGTTATTCCTTTTCCTATTGAATCCCGTAGCTTTCGGGGTTTTCTGAAGTATTGCCAACTTACAAATAGTCATTATCATCCTAGGTCTGACACTACAATAAAGTTTTGTATATAAATTTCCATGCAAGGCTGGAGAAGGAGACAAGCACACATTCTCTCTCGACTGTCTAGGGAGTCAACTTGATTTTTGGGGTAAAAATTCACACGTGACATGCATTGGAAAAAAATAGGGACCTACTTGAAAACATATATACATATAAAGAGGTATTATTGCAATTTTTCTTAAATATATTAATGATAATTATACTATTTTTTAGTAAAAAAAGAACTCGACCCTATAGGATCAGGTTAAGTCAATACTCATCTAGTTCGAATCCTATGGCCATCCCTAGAAATATTTGTCTTCCCTCCGAATTTTATTTACTCATCTAGTTTGATCACTTTTATCTCAATATTTCTTTATAAATCATAAATGATTATAACATAAAATAATAATTAAATCCTTCATCTTAGACAATGCAATGATCATGCTCCACTTTCACAAATCATAAAATATTATTGAGAGGATACAATTTGTACTAGAGTCATACTATGATTTCATATCTACAAATACAATTATATCATGTATGAGTCGCATACTAACATATTGATCATTACTTTATTATATTAACACGCGTCAATTCTTGAGATATCAAAGCATGCAAGTTATAGATATATAGTTCAACGTTAGTGTCACAAATGAATTGAATCTATAAACGAATTTAAGATTAATTTATATTGCATTTAGTCTAACATATTGTCTAATTTGATCAAGTATATCTCTATCCCTACTCGAAGTCAATGCATTTCAATAATTAACACAAACTATCTACTTTTCTAACTTTGATAACATAACAATTTTAGCATAAATTATTTACTCGAAATAGTTTCATGATTACGATCAGAAACTTTTCGAACATAATGACAAGTGTGGAAGAAAAGATGCCAAAAAATCTCATATTAATTGGCGTTCAATGTGCAAAATCTGCTCTCAACACTAAATTGGTCCAATTGTCAAAAAGCACTAAATAGAAGATGTATTGCCCAAGAATGAATTTTAAATCCATGATTTCCTAGAAAATTATTTAAATCCACACAAATATATCCCTTTGAACATCACATACCTCAATCAAAACAATGGCTTCTTCCACAGAGGCTTTAGTCGCCGTTCTTATTCTGGGTCTTGTCAGCCAAGTTAAACTACTTTGTCTTAACAGGAGAAAGATTTCTCAGACAAGTTGCTTTAAATTTTTTGTTTTTTGATATTTAAATGCAGGGTTTTCTCTTTGCTCGTTGAACGACATCATCGTCGGTACTGTCAGAACCGGAAACGAGATACAGGGTATGGCTGAATGGAAGGTGACAATTACCAACAACTGCAAATGCAGTCAACATGATCTAAAGCTTACTTGCAAAGACTTCCAATCGGTCGAAACTGTGGATCCAAGCATTTTTGTGCAGCAAGGTGACGATTGCCTTGTTATCCAAGGCAATACTTTGAATGGCTTCACTTCAGTCAGTTTCCTCTATGCTTGGGATCCTCCGTTTTTTATGTTTCCTTCTAGTTCTGTCGTCGATGACTGCTAGATTCAGAATTGCTCTTAGCTTGTAGTGCTAAAATCTCTAATAAATAATACTTCAGGTTAATTAAAACACAGATTGCAAACTTTTAGCCTCTTTTTTCATCAAATTGCAGACATTTTTGCGATGTGCCTTCATGTTGCCATCATCAGCAATTAAGGCATAGTTTTCAAAACTAATATGATACCTCAAAGGAGAAAGCCAGAACATGGTTGAAAACAACCAGAAGCAGTACTGTTTTTAAGGTAGTGCTAGTGATACATTAATGTAATCCTCAAGGGAGAAGGTCAAACAAAGGAGAGGAGAGGAGAATGAAGCAGAACATATATAATGATACAATAAGTGTATGTTAGGAATATAAAACATGTCTGATTTCGAAAATGTCACAGTTTCTAATCTCTAATCCAACCCACAACCTCGGCAAGGCGAAACGAAAAACAAGGGAAAGAGGTCCTAAGGTCATTTTCGCCTTTTAGCCGGTGGCTGAAGCTCTTCTTCTTCTTCATCTTCTTCCTCCTCTTCCTCTTCTTCTTCTTCTTCTTCTTCTTCTTCTTCTTCTTCATATTCACCTCCATCATCATCGTCATCGTCGTCGTCATCATCATTGTCGTCGTCATCCTCATCCTCATCTCCACTGGCTCCATCTCCATTGGCCACAGGTTCATCCTCTGGATCCCCTCCATCTTCACCTTCACCGCCTTTTCCCGATCCATCTTCCTCCTCACCGGCATCTTCATCACCTGCTGTTTCAATTTCCTCCTCCTCATCATCGTCATCCTCAGTGTCACCAGCATCCTTGTTCTCTGGACAAGGCTTTCTCACTGCAAGAAGAGCAAGCGGAAACCTGCAAAAGCAGATCGAATGATTTCCCCCATTCCACCGAAGAAGTGCATGAACAAGTTAGGCAAAATAATTTATTTAACTAACCCTGCATATGATTCTGGCTCTTTGATGAGGGCATCAATTCCATTAGACATAGTTTCCATCTGGAGAAACATCGAACTCATGCTTAGGATAAAAACAATGTTCTTTCAAATGCAGTTTTTGAGCAATTTAGAACAAACAAACATATCATCACATCAAACGACACAATTTTATGACCATGAAAACCATAATTATCCAATTATCCATCGTAATGAATAACAAAATGACAAACAAACAAGCATTTGCACAAAACATAGACGATCAACAAAACAAAACTGAAAATTAAGGTAAAGGATCGACTAAAACAATGTCTCTACCAAATCTATGCCTTCTGTACTCGACCCTATTGGCATATATGAACAGCTTATGTTCTTCCTTGACGTTCTTCTAAACTATATGAGAATTAAAATATTGTAGACAACCTATTAAGCAAAGCAACAGATTCCATAACCTCAGAAAATATTACAAACAAAAATTCACTTTTGAGTTTGAAAATTTCAGAATAATGCAATCAATTATTCACAGAAAAATTGTCAATTGCGCACTAACCCTTACAAAACAAAGAGCGGAAGAAACCAGTGGCTTAACAAAGAATTCCAACTTCAGCAAATGAAGGTAAATTAAAAGGCAAGAAGGAAAATTATACCATCATCACCAACAAAGCGACTGACTTAGTAGCAACAATGGCAGTTTCGATAACCATAGTTTGCAGTGCAAAGCCCACGGAACTGTCCAACACGGCACCGTTTGTAAGTGGACTCTCCATTTTCGTGACGTATAACAGAGCTTAGAATGAAAAAGGAGTGGCGAAGCTTGGGAGAACTAAAAGGGAAAAAGAAAGGAACCCCAATTGAAGAGAGAAAGTTTAAGATTGAGAATTAGGTTTTCGGGATTTTGGGGGTTTGTGTTAAGAGCTTCGTTAAGAGCATCGAAGAAGCACTTTGGTTATAGAAGAAAAAAGAATGTTCCATGTCATAGATAATCTGACCGTCGGTTTTAGAGGAACGGATGACAGTTACAATTCACACCGTCGGATTTGTTATGTGTGCAGCGTAATCAATTTATTTATTCTCGTATTTTTATTTCGATCATATAATTATTTTTTAAAATTATACTAAATATTATATTTTTTTATCATCAATAGTTAAAACTTTAACAATGATAATGACAGAGATTTCTTTTGCACTTTCAAAATTGCACTGTATTTTTCTCTTTTACGTTACTTGGTGTATACATAAATCGAGCTTAAATAAATAAAGTTTTATTTATGATTGTTTGTTTATTTTCAAAATGCTTTTATTCGTTTAAATTTTTAATATTATGTTCATTTATTTATTTATGAATGTATTCATTTAACATTTACGAACATCTTCGTTTATATGTACAAACAATCAATTAAATTAAATTAAACAAAACCAACTAAATAAACTAGTTCTTAAACTCTTTAGGCTTACCGTTTAAATTCTAAAGTTTACAATGCGTTCAATTTAGTCTCTTTCAACACCAATATTTCAAATGTAAAAAATAATAGGAAAAGAAGAACCGGATAAATGGACTTATAATAAATGAACTGGTAAATAAGTTTGTTCGTGAATATAAACGAACCAAACATTCCTCTATTCGTATTCGTTTATTTATTAAATGAATATAAAAGTTATATTCATACTCATCTATTTAACCTAACAAACGTTATATGAACCGCTCACAAACAATTTGCCAAACGTTCTATTCTTTTATATTCTACGTATTTCAATATCACGTGAGATTAGTAAAAAGAAATTCAAAAGACTTTATTTAAGTTGAAATCCTAAAATCAAAATAGTTTCTTCTTTCCATTCATTTCGAGAATAGCAATAGAGAAAGAAATAATATATAGAGACACCAAACATGATTCCATGTTATTATTGTGGACGGAAGAATTACAGCTAATAAAGATGTTGAAAAAATATTATTTTTCTTTGAGGTATTGAATTCGAGCTCGTATATAAAATATGTGTGCATTTAATAATGACTAAAAAATATTATAAATAAATATTATCATATAATAATTTTAATTTTTTTTAAAAAAATAATGATATTTTCGATGGGAATGTAAGGGGTAACCACGGTGTCACAGGCAACCGAGAGTCCGAGACAGCAAGGACATATCGCCGAAATGTTAACACCATCTGTGCTTTTGAGTATCTGGTGTTTCCATGGAAGATGTATGCTTCATGCCGAACACCCCACATTTGATTCCGGTAGTGATCGCGCCGGTGCTGAGCTGAGCTTTTCCAGGATAAGGGACATGATTGTCTGGTACATTGAAGTTGTTTATTCAATAATACATAATGGTGTCAACGGTAAAATGAAATGTTATTCTCCTTAAAGTTTCTGGATTCGAACGATTACATCTGCAAGGTGTGTGAGAATTGTCAATAGATTAAAAAAGTTGTATACAAATATTACCTTATAATTACTAAAAATTTTAATAATAAAAAAATGTTTATTCAACAGTTGTCTTTATTCAGTTTGCGCTACTCGACTGCGATCTCTTGTTTTGGTTTTTCCAATGGCCATGACATCTATTAGTAATATCAAGTCATAGTCATTCCCGATGGGTTTTCTCCAACAGCGTATTCATTTAGTATACAATCAGTTAATCTAACGGGATAAGAGACAACCAGTTAAACTAACAGGATAAGAAACGTTAGGTATCTTAAACAACATCAAAGATTTGAATCTTGATGTGAATGAAATAAACTAAATTCGAAGAATCGTCTTTATAATGTACCTTGTCAGTAAGATTAATAGATAGGATACAAGGGGTTGTAAGGAAAAATGACTAGCAATGTTGAAAGTGAGAAACATACTATTCTGATTATTTTACAAACGCCGTTTTCCATTAGCCTTGTATCTATTACAAAATCAAAGATGAAATCACAAATTAGGCCAGTTCTTCCCAAATACAAAATGATAGAAACATCGTCAAACGGGAACAAAGTTTATCTGTTAATTAACAAGCATTTTGGGTTCACACGGACACACGTATTACCCTATGCTCATCTGGTAAACCTTAATCCCAATCTTAACTTACCAGAATAAACATAAACCTGCAACCAAACCCCATTTCTAAGCTGGCACCTGAAGGGAGGCTTTTCGCCTACATCTTGCAATTTGCAGCCTTACCCTTTTTTCCTTCTATGAACCCCAATTTGGAATGCTTGAGGTGGCTTCATTTACCATTTTCACCAGAGTTACCTGCCACAATTTACATTGTATTTTGTTACATCATCCCACAAAGAAGGTAATTGTACTAAATTATTCAGTTCTATGGTACATGGCTGACCTGCACCTTTTGATTATAGTATAGGGACTGCCTAGAAACTTTAACCTAGCATACTACCAAGAACCAAAATTGCATTGCATGGGCAAAAATCTCATAGAATTGTTCAATATTACTTTACATTGTGCCATTGAAGGATAAGTGTTAAACTTACCACACTTTCGGGAACACCAGGAGGAGGCAGCGGAAGGTCTCTCGGAGGTGGTTCAGTATCGAACGATCTTTTATCAAACCTCCATTCTCCAATCTTTCCGTAGGTTAACCTACCCTGAAACCAGGAAGAAAACTTGCAGCTATTTAGTAAAATGGTGACAAGTTTTTTCTTCCAACTCAAACAAATATGCTGGAACATAATTTGGAAAGGTCATAACCGAGAAACATTTTCCTAAAACAAAATGATTGAGATTTCAGCACGAAAAGTTACCTTCAAATCATAGTCACACCCATATGTGTAGTGAATGATGAACTTGTTACCGATTTCTGTATCCCAAGGAGGCTGATCAGTGTCACAAAAGCAATGGTTTAGTAAGGAAAGTTCAGGAACTAATCCGAATTCATCGACATGATAAACAAGAATAAAGAAGGCGAAAAAGTAACCGTCGACAAATTATTCAAAATAATGATTAAATAACAGACAATTTGCAGAAGTCTAATCTGTGTTGCTAACAAATAATAATGCTTAATCAGTTTGGCTTGCTCCTAGAAGCACACCAGAAGCGGGTCCTAAACTAAAAGCTCATCCCCATCAACCCAGATTCTCAAATTTACACCAGAGAGTTGACTGTCGTAAATGGTTGCAAGATGACTATAGTTATCACTAACCAGGAAGGTGCAGCTGTAATATTTTATCGTCTAAGAAGAAGAAATTACGGGAAACGGACAATCTCATCGAACCTGGATCATGAAATCTTTGTATAGGATGTTACCCACACCATGCAATGCAGAGGAAACAGCATAAGCGTACCTACAGTTATAAAACAAGTAAACAGAAGACTCAAGGTCAAAATCCAAGGAACCATTGTAAAAGCATGGATCAAATCGGACAAAACTCACATTTCAAGCACCCAGCCAAAAGCTTTATCTGTTTCAGGATCTTTCTTCATTGCCAATGACACATTCATCCAAGTTGGAGCAATTTTTTTGAGAGAACCCTATACAATCAATGAAAGATCTTCAGGAGAAATCGAAACCGAAACTGCTAACGAAGCAAACACTGAAAATGTATACCTTCCCAACAATAACAGGAGAATTTCCTATGGGGTCAATGTTGGTTATTGGACCCTTTTCCTCAGGAAAAAACTTTCTCAGAACCGACCCATACTTCTTCGGTTCTATATAGAAGAAAGGAAATGCAGCGCCAAGCCCATCTTTTGACAAGTTTGGTATAGGCTTCACAATGATATGATCTGGCTCTGCCATCAGTATGTAACTGTATATGCATAGGAAAGATGGGACATATAAAATCAACCAAAACATGGACACAAATTGAATCAATACAAAATAAGGAAATCAGAATCTCATACTCTTCTTTGATGTCAGCCTTTTGAAGCCACTGCACAAATGCCCAGGGTCTGTTCAGTACTATATAACCCTGTCATTGACATAATGGTAAAGAAATAAGTTGATATCTAGGTTGTACAATTTAGACTCCATGAGCATGTATATTCGAACGTCGTCTAACATATTTGAATAATCCTGATGGTAACATTTTGTTTGTAACAGCCGTGGGCGGTTCACCTTTTTTTAATTGGACAGAGACTCGCACCCGATAACTTTTAAGGAGAATGAAGACGAACAGTGTAAGGGAGAAAAAAAGAGAGAGAGGGTCAGAGAGATCAGGTGACCCTCAAGTGTCGGACTCTGGATCATGAATGTTATTTGTAGGTCGACAAAGTAAATTGATTTGAGCATTATATAACAGAGTTTGCAGGTGATGGGATGGACAACGATCAAATCAAAAGAATGCAACTATGTGGAGGATATAGAGCTCTGGAGGCCTTGATAAACAAAATATTTCCTCCGGTAAGGAGGAGGGTATGGAATCATAAATCCAGAATTCTAAATCTAAACCCTAAAATTTATAATCTGAAACCTTAAATAAAATGTATGATTTCAATACAATTTTGCTCGTGATTTCTTTTTACATCGCCGGTGATAATAATCCTAACTTAAATACACATAAATAAGAATCATAAAGCTAAGGATACTAATTATAAAGTTTGATACCAAGAAGACAGCTAATTTTATTGGTTCAATTAGTCCAATCAATGAAGACTAACCTCAAATTTCCAAACTTAGATGCCCATTTCACAAACTGAAAGTTATCTTCTAAATTGAATGAACTCAACAAATTATAGACTAAAACCCCTAAAAGAGATACCTGATCCATTCCAGCAGGTAAAGGCTGAGCAATGAAGGTGGGAATCTCATCCATGTACTTGTCTGGTTTACCAGAGTGCAAGATCCGAGTGAACCCACCCATTTCTGAATCGGGTCCATTCTTATGCTTCTTGAACCAGTAATACATGACTCGGCACTGCCAAGTGTTGTAAACCGAGTCAGAAGCCGTCACCGCAGTGTGAAACAACCTTCTCTCTGCACTTGACCCGAATTTTCTGAATTTTTCTACCGGCATCTGGATTACGGGGTCGATGATTGAAAATCCCGAAGGCCCGGGAAGCTCCTGCTTTAGAGAAGCATTGGCTGAGATGAGAATGTTGTAGGTGATTAGAGCTACTGCTAAAGTTATAATCAGCGTGAAGAATACGTTCCCACACCCCATTTTTTCAGTCGATTGCTTGAAGAGCTCTCCCTGATCCTCACTTTTTTTCTTGCTTTTATTTATGGGGACGGTGAAGGGAAGTTTGGGTGAGTTACGAAGAGGCAGCAGGGAGCGGCGGAGGCCGCCTTTGGCGGTGGCGGTATTTGGGAAGGTGATTGGTGACAGACTGTCGTGGGAGAGAGTGATTGAAGAAAGTCGTGGAATCAACTATTGAAAGACACCATAGTGGAGTTGTTGAAGAAAAGTCAGCTTCCAATTTTTTAACAAAAAAAATTATTTTAGAACAAAGCACATTAACCATCACTTTTATTTTATTTTTTATCATTTAATTTTATCATTTAATTTTTAAAAATTATATTTAATCATTTATATAATCAATTAATCATAAAATATCATTCGTTATATGATAACATAACATAATAAAAATTTTAAATTGATTCTTAAACTTTAAAATATAAATTTAACATTTGTTAACATATAAAGTTATTAATGTAATGAGAGATTAATGTATGTGTGAGTGATCATTTTGTAATTAATAATAATATAAGTGATTAAAATATAACTTTTGAAAGTTGAGGGGTAACAAATAAAAACAATCGAATAGAAGTGCAGTTTACCCTTATTATATATAGAAATAAGTATAAATATTTATATTTAAGCTCACATTGTATTTTTAAATTGTTTTCTAAAGTTAAATTTTTATATATATATTAATTAAATATTGATATTTAAATTGTATTTTTAAGGTATTTCTATATTCTATGGAGCTTATGAAGGTTGGACAATTTGCTGAATCGGTCCGGCTTTTGTAGAGGAATCATTTCTCATGTCAACTCTTAAATAAAAAGGATAAACTACAGGAGTGACCACTCAACTATGGTCAAAATTATTTTGACCACCAATTTTCAACTTTATCAATCAGATCACCCAACTATTTAATTATTTCAATCAAGCCACCTACTGTTAATATTTAACGGAGTAGGTGGCGTAGCCGTTAAAATATTTTAATATAATTATACAATTGGTCCACATAATTTATATATTATTCTAATTTAATCTTAATTTTAATAAATTACAATAAATTTAACCATCAAATTAAGTGTCATGTGTCATTGGTGACACTTGTTATGATAGGTGTCGTCATTCAATTGGACGCTTGGTTGATATAGTAAGAGTCAAACCATTTAGACAAGACAACTAATTGATCTATTTTGGATAAAAATGATATATATACTATATCGTAATATATAAATGATTTACTCAAAATTAAAAATATTTTATATATTTTATATTTTAAAATTATCTTTTATTTTTTTAAATTTATTAAATATATTTTATTTTTATTTAAATCTAAAAATATATTTGTCAAGATACCTCAACATAAAATATATTTAAATATTTTATTATCAATTTAATATAAAAATATATGTATTTTATTATTATCTTAACTTTTAAAATTTATTTTTTTAAATATCTTAACTTAAATTATATTTTATTCTTAAGTTAAAATATATTTTGGATTTAAAATATTTTAATATATTTTTAAAAGTTAAAATATTTTAAAATATATATTTGTAAGGGATGATAAAGATATAATATATATTTTTACATTAAAATAAAAATAAATATATTTAATAATTTAAGAAAAAATATATTTAATAAGTTAAAACAAAAATAAAAAATAATTTAAAATTTTAAGATATATAAAATATTATTTAATCTTGAGTAAAGCATTTATATACTAACATACAATAATATATATATATGATTTTTGTCCAAAATAGACCAATTAGTTGTCTTGGCTCTTATTATTTCAGCCAAGCATCTTGGGTTTGATTAGCCTTACTCGCTTATTGTTGTGCGAATTTATTTTCTTTCAATCAGAAGGTGATATTTATTAAAATTAAGATTAAATTAAAATAATATATAAGTTATGAGGATTAATTATATAATTATACCAAATGTTTTAACGGCCACATCACCTACTCCAATAAATGAATGGTCTGATTGATCAAGTCGAAACATCAGTGGTCAAAATAATTTACCAAATAAAAAATAATCAGATTGATTTTAAGATTAACATATAATTAAAATAATACTTTTATTAAGTGAAGTGTATTACATATTATTGTATTATTTTTAAATAATTATTAAATTTATTAAAATTTTCAAATGATTATTAAATTCATCAAATTGTTACAAAATTATAACAACGATGTAATGATAATTGTAGCTTTTTAATGAAGATAATATTTTTTTAACAATTTAATAAAATTTAACAATTATTTTGTAATGATTTTTACCCTTTTATTAGAGTTAATTGCACATGTACTCAAACTATAATTCTCACCTTAAATTAGTCCCTAAACTTTTGAATATTTTAATTTATATTTAAAATATTACTTTCATTTTAAATTAGTCCCAAAACTTTTTGAACATTACAATTTCATCCCCAGATTCTTCCAAATATATAATTAGTTTCAATTGTAGTTTAACCTAAATTTTGGTTTTTCTAAAAGCATATAATAATATAACTTGGTCTAACAATTTTATTAAAATAGGATGTGATCAGTATATATGTATAGTTTGGGATAAATTTGGAATGTTCAAAATAATTGGAGACCAATTTAGAATGAAGGTCATAGTTTATGGATGAAATTAAAATGTTTAAAAGTTTAAGGACTAATTTATAATAATAGTCATAGTTTAGGGATGAAACAAAAATATTTAAAAGCTTAACTATTAATTTAGAATAAGAGTTATAATTTGGGGACATGTGATCGAATTAACTCCTTTTTGTTGTTGTACTACAAGTTTCGTTGACAAGCATGACATAATTAAATATTAGATTATTTTGAATTTATATTTAATGTATTAATGATGTATGAATTTATATATTGATAATGAATAAAATAATGATATATCATTGAAAATAAATTAAATAAATTTAACTTTAAATTATTATATTAAACTATTATTATCTAATTCATTTATTATTATACAATTTATATAAAACTAGTATTTATAGCTATATACAATTTATATCAAATATAAATATGATTATTTTATAAATATTTTATTTTGATTCTTTCGTATTCTTTAAATAACTCTATAGGGATAGTATTAAAAAACAATAGATGAGATCGACAGTCTATCTGTCAAATCATAAATATGACACCCAATTGACATATTTTTAAAAAAAATATATCAAATAACAACAAAAATAAATTAAAATTTATTTGCAGTTTTTTCCTTTTAATTTTTTTATATGATTCTAAAGTTATATCTGTGATGAAACTATCAAGAGAGTGGGGTTAGGAGTGTTAAAATATTAATTTGGTAAGTGATGAATTGAATTAATTAAAAATAATTATTAATTTTACTTAAAAATAATTAATTGAATAAAATAAAATAAGATTAATTCAATAAATTTTAGAATTAATAAAAATTATTATTTTTAAATTTTAGTTCAAAATAACAATTCAAGTAGCAACAAATTTGTAAATGAGTTTCTATATGTTTTTATTTCTAGTCTTTATTTTTCTCTTTTGGGTTGGACTTAATATAAATATTAGGTTTTGAATACTATGGGTTATTGATGAGACTTGACCTTACAATTTAAAATAAATTAATTATATTCATTAATTAACTAATTTCAAATCTAACTAAACTTTTAAGAAATTAATCATTTATCTATCGAAAACTTAATTGATCGACTGATTAAATAAACTAAAATTATCATTTACTTTTCTTAATATATTTTCAAATAATAGCCTCGCTAGCGGATACAATTAGGATTATGATAATAAGAGCAAGCAAGAGAGGAGGTCAACTTATATACCTTTAAATTTTAAAAATAATTTTAAAATACCACAAATTGACCTCCTCTAACTATTATTTGAAAACATATTAAGGAAACTAACCAATTCGACCTAAGAAGACATCTCACAATATTATATATGCAATAATTTGTTCAATTTTTAATTTTGTCTTATTAATCCAATTTAACTGATCAATCAGATTTGATTAGTATAACCATCCTATATAGTATTATAAAAAAAACTAATTAATTTGACCTAAGGAAGCTTATTTTTCATTAATCTTAAAATAAACTTGACAACAACAACATTTTACCAATTTTTATTAATTTTCAGCTAACAGTGGCCCTCTCATATTAAATAAAGAAAAAAAGAAATATATAAGTAAATTGACCTATTTGTCCCATAAAAATCTCACGCGCTATTAACGAAAAAACCAACGCAACCACCCACGGCCGACCCACGGTTTCCTTTTAATAACTTGTTCGTCAGTCTTGGTTGTAACCGCCATTACTTTATACTCGCCACCAAAGTCGGGTCCTTATATGTCTTTTTTTTTACTTTCTTTATGTTTTCCGCTCAACCTATATATACCCAACGTCTTCCCTCATAATCGGTATTTTCATAATCTGCGGAATGTGTAACGAGAGTTGCAATTTCTCATCGCACAGAGAGTCATTGAGAGAGAAGATGAAATCGTCGATGTGTTGTTTCGGTTTGGCGGCTGCAGCGGCACATATCGGAGACGGAGACGGCTTCGAGCCGTTGGAGGAGGAGGCGAAGTCGTCGAGATCTCCGAGATCGCCTCACATAAAAGAAAAGTGCAGGAACCTAACGGCCTGGATCTGGAAAGGAGGCCACAAGCACCACGGCTTCTCCGATTTTAGTTACGATCCGATGAGCTACGCACTGAATTTCGAGGATGAGTCGAGCCGAGCTGACGAGTTTCCTTTTGTCAACTTCTCGTCGCGGCTTCCTTCTACGCCGGAACGATCACCGGTGATCAAGCAATTTGGCGAAACGCCGGTGCTGGTAAGGAGGGAAATCTATACGTACAGTTGAGATTGATTTCCATTATTAACTGTAATGTTGCGGAGATTGTAATGTACTACGATAGGGTGAACAAGTCATCCTGCAAATGTTTCATGTAAAGCAATTGAACACTATTTAGCCACAAACTTTACTATTATTATTATTATTATTAAATAATATTCTTAAGAATAGTTTGTGATTTATGTTAGGTGATTTTAATTGTTTTTTTTTAAGTGTAATATACTTTATTAATGTATTTGTATATACGTTTTACAATTATTCATAAAATTTTAACGTGTTTAACATTTAGAATAAAGAAATGTTAATCTTAACGCACAACTTTTCATTCAAGTTCGAATATCCGTTCGAAATTTACGAGGATTTGAACAAAAATTCATAAAATTCATAACTTAAACTCTAAAATTCACTGTAATTTAGTATGTATCTTTACCAATATTTAAAATGTAAAAATAATAAATGAGTTTCTAAACGGGTTTATTCATGAACATAAACGAATAAGTCAATAAACGAGCTTGTTTGTGAACATAAACGAATATACTTATGTTCGTGTTTGCTCGTTTATTAAATGAATATAAAAATTTATTTTTACTCGTTCGTTTAACTTAACAAACAATCATAAACAAACGTTATACAAACATAAACAAACATATCACCCAACTCTTTGTTCATTTACACTCCTTTAATTACTAATAGTTTGTCAAAATGATGCAAAAATCTGGAATGTGTCGTGGTTCAAGTAAACAGTTTTTGCTCGGTTTCATCCGACAGTTACCTACGCCGATCTTTAGAAAAAAATGAGATCTAAATGGACGGGGAAAAGACTCACAAACGGCGAGACAAGGACAAGGAGGACACAGTTGAAAGCCTAATGTGCAAGAGTGTTAGCATCTCTGCGCGTGAAGACGACTTTATAACTCAGGGTGTTTGGATTAAGAGATGTGAGATTTTTATAAGAATAAAATTCACATTTTTATATTTAGTTAGTCGAAATATTATTTTCAATAATGTTTTATTATTAATATTAGATTTTTTTAAGTATATTACTAGAATTATTATTATTTTCTTTTCTTTAGATATTGTTGGATTACTGATATTTTAGACTAAAATACCCTCAATTTTTTTTTCAAAAAATATTATTCTTTTATTTTGAATAATAAAAATTCTACAAATGTTAAATTACAAATTTATCCTTAAACTATTTTAAATTTATAAAAAAAATTATAATTAAAATTTTATATGAAATTAATGGATTAAAATAAAATTTTACCCATTCATTAAACCTTTTTATATTTTTAATTTTATAAATATAAATATATATATATAAATTTTATTAATTTAAATTTTTTAAAGAAAATATATAAATATTTTTCAACTTGTTAAAAAAACAAATATATAATAAGAACAATTTGGTAAAATATACATTCTAATAATCTTTTATTCCTTTAACCAAACACGATAATCTTACATTTCTGCTAAACCAATCTAACACAAAATACAACATTCCCAGTAATTTTATTTTCTGATAATCATACATTCCCACTGATAATCTTACATTTCTAATGATAATCTTACATTTCGTGAACCAAACGCACCTTCAAGTGCATATCCAAGATTCGTTTCGCCTCAAGCATATGTTTTTAATGATTTTTTTATTTATTTTTGACTTTAAACCAAAAAAATAATAAAATTAATTATTTTGATTTATTTTTCAATCCATTCGACTCCAACGAGGACTCGTCCCTATTAAAAAGTGTAATATACTTTATTAATGTATTTGTATATACGTTTTACAATTATTCATAAAATTTTAATGTGTTTAACATTTAGAATAAATAAATATTAATCTTAACACACAACTTTTCATTCAAGTTCGAATATCCGTTCGAAATTTACGAGGATTTGAACAAAAATATTATACTCGTTTAAAATAGGACCATACAACAATATTTAAGACTTGAGATCGATCTAAAATATTTTCTATGTTTATAATCTATTTATTATTTTATTTTATTATATTATGACATTTATATCACGTAAAAATTAAATTTATAATACTATAATGTAAGTATTCAGTTATATATTAAGTTTTTTATATATAAATGAGTAAAAAAATTAATTTTAATAAAATACACAAAATAAATATATATTAAATTAAAAATAAAATAATTTTTTTTTTTTAAATAAAGTCTTTTGACAAAAATTTAAGACTCGTAATTTATGTTTAGACAGAACCTAAACAAATATGAAGTATGTTAAATCTCTTACATAAATTTGATTTAATCGGACTCATTAACACCTGTACCTGTACCTGTACCTGCTAAATTTTCAATAAAATAAAATAAAAATCACTTAAGGTTTTCCTTTATTATGAAACGCAACTGCGTATCGAGGTCTACTTAGGGTTCGTTTCATGTTAAAAAAGGGTAAATTAGTTATTATTTAGTTTTTGTTTTACAACTATTATTTATTTTAAATTATACTCAACGTTACATATTGTATTAGCATCATTGTTAATTTTTTAATGGTAGGTGACCAAAACAAAACTAAAATGTAACGTTAGGTATGATTTTGAAAAAAAATAGTTGAGTGATAAAAAATAAATTAATTAATAGGTGAGTTATCAAATTAGAAATTTACCCTAAATAAAAATATACATGAATTATTCTAAAAAAATTCTTATATTACTCCAATTAATATATTTTGTCTAGATTTAATCCAAATATATATGATTGTTAGTATATTTTTAAATTAAATATATATATATATAAATAAACTATGTTAGATGATTTTTTTATTATATTTATATTGATTTAACCTATAAAAATTTTCAAGATTTGCCATTATGTGAGCCTGCTTTTCAAGTCAGGTACTATGTATCAATATTTACTAGTAAGGGTGTAAATGAACTGAGTTTGAACGAGTAAGGTTGTTTTCGTGTTCGTTTCTTTATTTCTTAAGGTGTTCATATTCGGTTCGTGTTCGCGTAATCTTTTTAAATTTTGTTCGTGTTCAATTATTTATTTTTGAAGGCATTCATGTTCATTCATTTAATGTTCATAAACGTGTACGTTTAATGTTCGTGAACATATTTATTTAAAAATTCGTCAATATATTTATCTATTGTTCGTAAATATATTTTTTTAGCATTTATTTATCATCCATGAGTAATAAGTATATTTACTTAGCGTTCGTGAATATATTTATTTAAAATAAAAAGAAAAAGAGAGCGACAGGATGTGTGTGTTATGAAAGGGAAATTAGTAAATTTACCCCACTAGTACTTAAACTTTTTAAGATTCACAACTTTAACTCTAAAATTCATTGTAATTTAGTATGTATCTTCACCAATATTTAAAATGTAAAAATAATAAATGAGTTTCTAAATGAGTTTATTCGTGAACATAAACAAATAAGTCAATAAACGAGCTTGTTTGTGAACATAAACGAATATACTTATGTTCGTGTTTGCTCGTTTATTAAATGAATATAAAAATTTTATTTTTACTCGTTCGTTTAACTTAACAAACAATCATAAACAAACGTTATACAAACGTTATACAAACGTTATACAACATTCCTAGTAATTCTATTTCCTGGTAATCTTATATTCTTACTGATAATATTATATTTCTAATAATAATCTTACATTTCGTGAACCAAACGTACATTCAAGTGCATATCCAAGATTCGTTTTGGCTCAAGCAGATGTTTTTAATGATTTTTTTTTTTTGACTTTAAACCAAAAAAATAATAAAATTAATTATTTTGATTTATTTTTCAATCCATTCGACTCCAACGAGGACTCGTCCCTATTAAAAAGAAATCAAGCATTAATGAAGTTAGGAATGCTCCCCGTGTTAAAAAAGGGGAAGAAGGTAAAGTCTGTTTCCCAGCACCAAAATTATGAAATCAGTTTAAACAAGTTTCCACCTACAAAGAATAGCAACTACTTTATTTACATAACAAGAAGTCGATGAGGGGATCATCTTTACCTCGGTGTCTCAAACCGTCACCTGAGTTTTCAATCTAATCTGAAAGTCATCAACTCTTGCCTGTTCAGCTACTCCTGTGTAACATTTCGGGATCAGAATCGTCTTCGGCAGGCACCATATTTAGATCAGGCAGTACAAAGGTGAGTTTGCCCGCATTGCGAGAATCTAACGGCAGTTCACGGTCATCATCAGATGGTAAGGTTGAGTCTGACGACAATCGTGGTCTTGGACAAGGTACTCTCTCTGGTTCATTACCAATTAAGCTCGAGTTCGAATCAAGCTGTAATACAAGTGAAGTTTACATCAAAATGGGGCCAAAAAAACTAAGAAACTCTCAACATGAAACATGTATATTCATCCAACCCTAGTTCTTTTCAAGTTCTGGCTTGTGGCTTGATGTTCTTTACAACTCTCATCCTGTTGAATGAATAGAGAAGACGAGTGTTGTGATTGCCAATTATCTTCAAATATAATCAAACTTAATTTTTATTACAGTAAAAATCTAAGGCCATGACTTGGCACACCACGCACGTGACTTACATAACCCCCTTAAAGATAATAATAATCCTGAAACAAATTAAGAGACAAAACTGATATACTGTTACAGATTGGGAAAGGGAGACGAAGACTCCACCAAATCCAATTACACACGCGTCACACCTGATAACATCTCCTCCTTTTTTCGATGGGGTCCATGGACTCCACTTCCACCTATTACTATGACCGAAATGCCCCTCTGTTGTGAAATTTCCTTGGACAGTGGGGGCTGTGCGAATCTTATTTTTGCTCCTGACGGAATTGTCCTTTAGTGAAAAGGTCTGATCTGATAAGGAAGGGTACGGGTTAAAAGGGCGGATCAGTGAAAATCCGTCCTCACTTGAAAATGGTAATAAGGTTTATAACACGGGGGTTGTTTAGTCCAAACGGTAGGGGGAAAACGGCACTTCCATTTTAATAAAAACACTGTTAAACCGATGATCGGAAAGTTTGAAGATGAAGAGAATCGTTAAAGAATGACAGTTCTGATGAACTCAGTGAGTAAGCTGGGAATCAATGAATGACGGTCATTCCAAATCAAAAACCAGAAGGCGAAAAGGAAAAGTCGAAAACAACGGTGGCGATACGTAATTCGGTATGGCCACGCAAGGATGTTTCCGACAGCCCAAAATATGAAAGTAAAAGAGATTCAGACACTTAATAGAGAGAGAATAAGTGAAAAGAAAACCTTGGATCTCGAAGGTGCGACAGGAGGTGAGCGACGGACGTGGGAACTCGTCTCTTCAAAACCGGCGGCGGCGGAAGGAGAAGCGTCGCTACTACCACCGCTCCAACAAAGGGGCGTGGTGGGACTACCACTTGCACTGACGTTGAAATCTCCGTCTCTCCTGGCTTCGCATCGTAGCAACATGGGTTTAGACCTCCGCTGACGTATCCCCCATTTAAATGCAGGCAAGGCATATTTGGAAGCAGGTGGTGCCGCCTGGGCTTGCTTGAGCCTTACCAACAACTCAACCACCAAATTGTCGTCCGCGATCGCTGCCCGAATCCACTCATCTTTCACCATCATCGTTGAAACCAACACCGACCAACGATAACCAAAAAGGAAGAGAGCCAGATATTGACAAATCTGTGGATTTCAAATATTGGATTGGGAAGAGAAGGATAGAAGATACGGGAGAGGAGAGGGAAAGAAAGAAGGATAAAGAAGATGAAAAGTGAGGAAGATGGGTGCGAAGAATAATATATAGAGAATGTGCGATTTGATTTTCTCCTTTGATAAATATAATCAAATTTTCTCCCTCTCTCTGGACTGTGTCATTGTTGATAAGGGTCGGGCGAGAACGCGAGGGAGAGGTGAGAAAAAGAAGAAAAAAAATGAGCAATTGTGTGCCAGTGGGTCTGACACTCTCTCCTTTATCACACATTTGTTAATCGCAATTATCCTCTAAATCATGGGTCCAATGGTAAATTGATCTTAAATATCACAATATTATTTTCGTTGATTGATCACGATATTAATTTTAATATTAATCATTATTTTTTTTCATTCTATTAATCTTATTTTTTACTATCAAATCTATAATATCAATTGGATAATTAGTAATAGCAAAAGTTTTCCCCTTGGTTTTCTACCGTTGGTAAGTCATTTATTTATTTTTATAGATTTTTATTTTTAATAAATCTGTTTATATAATGCATTTTTTTTATGACACGTTAATATAATAGTGTCATTTCTAATGATAGATAAAGGTAAGATATAGTTGCGTATACTACTATAGTTGATCATTAAATTGTGTATATCAGGAGATAAACGATCAATAATCTCAAGCATCAAAAGAATAACTTAAGGAAATTGTATAACGCATGCTTAAATTGTTTTCAATTAATTGAATTATCAAAAAGAATGATTATGGTATTAGATTGTTGTACTTCGAACAATCCTTAGACACAATACAAAATTAGCTGACCCTTATTCCCATATGTAATGAGGTAAGGGAGAAGTATGATAGTATGCTGCCCCCAACGTCAGGTTGAGAACAATTTCCGTAGGATACTTCCAAATTATAAAATATCTTCCGTATGATACAATGATTCATTATTAGTAATTTTTATAATAATATTTGAATATTTATTATAATTATTTTTTATTTTATTCATGAATTTAACAATTTTTGTCTAACAACCACATCAACCGGAACACTGCTTAGTCTTCTTGTACTGCTTCTCTCTCCATTGTTAACTGGATCAAGCCATTGTCCAGTCATCAAGATTTATGTGGACGATGCGTGTGCTTCTTCCTCGGGTTTACCGGCCATTGGCATCCTTGCGCAGGATTCTCAATGGATGGTGCTAGGTGGTCCAATCTGCCTTATAAAATAATACTTTTTTTTTTGTTTAAGATAATAATTAATTATTTCGCAGTAAAGCATTTCTTCCATTTCCATCGTTTCCAAGAGCTTTAAATTTAAATTTGCCAGTGATTGATGGTTTGGGTTTCTATACTACAAGGATTAAAAATTTTGGTTAAATCTTTAGATCAACATACAATTGAATCAAGTTAAAAAAACGTAAATTGTTCAATAAATTTAATTTAAATTTTTCGAATTGAGTTTAACTAATCAAATTTATTCAATTTTTATTTATATATGATTAAAAACATTTATAATATTATTTAATTTTTATTTATACAATTCTTTATAATCATATGTAGAATAGATATATTTCTTCGTATTATTTTCATTAATAATAAAGTATAACTTATAAAATTAAAAAATTCAACTCAAACTTAAAAATCAACCTATTAATTATTTAAAATTTTAAAATTAATAAAATATTATTCAAAATATTCGATTCTATTTTATAACCCGACTTAAGTTCATTTGAGTTTATGAAATAAAGACTTCAGAACTAATCCGGATCAAGAAAATAATTTATGTCATTGACAATCTAACCCTAGTTTAAATACAAACCCAGAAAACCTACTTGTAAATACGAAACCAAAACAACCCTAAAGAGAAAAACAAAGTAAAAAAACTAGACATATTTGCGTATCGATGCAGACAATTGCTAAGCTATACAGAGGAGAAGCTGGGATCAGAAACTAACTAAACATACTTTTCTGAGTTAGCAATTTTTGATCTTCCCCTTGAAAAAAACAAGGGATTACAGATTAGCAATCTGTAACGAATGAAGTCAAATCACCAAGTCCAGCCTTAATATCCTCCTTAAGGCATTCGTGGCGACATCATCTTTCAAAGCAATCCCAATCTTCTTTGTGAAGAACGCCGGCAGCGGAACTGAACTCGGAGGCGGCGATGTTATGAAGGCAGATCCGGCATGGAAGAAGGGCAGAACGACCTTACCGTCGTCGTTTTCAGACTCGGTGGGTCGGAACGGACACGGGATCTGGATCGGAACGGACAGTGGAACTCAGATCTACGTCAACGCTTTCTACAGGCTTATCCGGCTTAGATTCTTTAAGATCTTCGCCGCGTTTGAGGATCTTGACTTGACCCATCACGAGATTCTTGGCCGGAGCTTTTGAGGGGGCGACTGAATGACGAGAAGGGGGAGAAGCGTTGGGAGTACGCTTCCGGCGGTTCGTGCGGTTTGGGTTAAGATTGGGATTATGTCGAGGATTTCTTGGGTGTTTCACGGAATTAGGAAGCTTTAAACAATCTTCTGGGTTGTGAACTGCAACACCCATGATGAAACAACGAGGAATCTACAAATTAAAAAGGAATTTCTGCAGAAGAAGTTTAAGAGAAGAATCAAAGAAGTGGGAAATGCGGAAAATCAGAGAAGAAACAAGGAACAGAGTTCGGGTTTGGAAGGAAGGAGAGGTGACGAGTTAAAGTAAATTGATTGAGTGCCACTAATCACACGCTCCTGTGCCAGTTTCAAATCTTGTTATCCTTATGACTTATTAGGATGATTATTTCATCAAATCAAATTAGATTTACATAAAATAGTTGAAGTTTATAATTTTATATTTTTTTTCTTTGCCGTAATTAGTATATTTTTCTTATCTTTATGATTAGTGACGGTATTTGTTTTAGTATTAATAGTTGACCATCAATATTTATTATTATTTTTATTTTGTTATATTATTTTTTTAAAATTTTAATAATTTTGTTTGTATGATATATATTTTTTATATTTATGACACATTTTTTAGTTTTTTTTCTCACTATTATATTTGATATTGTCATGATTAATCAAGACGGCGAATATTTATTATCGTGTTGATTCTTTTTGTTTTTCACGTTCATATTGGATTTAAATATGCTATTTGTGTTAATGGATAATTTGTTCACGTCACTCAACTATAATTCACGGTTTATCGATAATCTTTCAATAGTTTGATCTCCTTTTATAATTCATTTACAGATAAAATTATATATGTTCGTTTTTTTTTTGTTCGAATTTATTTAATATATTTTAAATTTTTTTATATGATCTTAAATGATTAATTTTTTTGTATTAATGATTATAAAAAATATATTATTATTATATGTTTAATTTATATTTTCTATTAAAAAATATCTAACGGGTGGCCTGGATGATACTAACACGCTTCGGAATCCTTGATGTTAACTTGAGTTGGTATGAGCCACGTGTTGAAAAAGGTTAATGAAACATGTGAACCGCTTTTAAAAGCAATCAAGGGTCACCCGTGACTTGAGGGTAGGTTTTGTAATTCCGTCGAAAATGAGTGGCCGTTTGTGGAATTAGAATACGGCTTTGAGGGATATCTCACTGAAACAGCTGGAGCAATCTTGTACGTATACGTTTCAACTGAGGAATGGAATGACGTGACGGAGGCTAAATTACTGACACCGTTTGCTTTTAATTTTACCTTTCTGATACCGTTTGACTAATATTTTCAGAAGTAGCACCATTTCTGCTGAGTTGTCAAAGGCGCGTCCCCGGAGACGCGCTTTACCCGTTTTTTCGCCGAGTTGGATGCCACGTGTGAAAGGCGCGTCCCTGGGGACGCGCCTTTGCCATATTAGCAGACACGTGTGGAAAGCGCATCCCCGGGGACGCGCCTTCCATTAAATGTCATAAATTCCCCCATCCGTTTTTCCTAACTACCCCTCCTCCTCTCCTATATAAACCCCCTCAACCCTCCCTCATTCTTCACACCAAAATCATCTTCTACTCTCTTATATAACTCAAATTCTTCAACTATTTGAGTTTTAAATTTGTTATTAGTGGTAAGAAATTTATTTTTATGTTAGTATTTTTTTAAATAGTTATTATTTTTATATTAATATATTATGTAAATATTATTTTTTTATTAAAATAATATTTATATAATTATTATTTATTTAGAATTATTAAATTTTTTTTGCTAATTATATTGTTTTGTCTACAGTTATAATGGAAAACGAAATGCTGTTGCGATTGGATATTGATCATATCTCCAGACATTTTAGCGATATGGTAATATTTTTTATAATTAATGTTAATATTTAAATTTATTTTTATTTTAAAGTTATTATGAATTTATATTAATTTTTATTTTTTATAATATATATTATTTAGGATGCTGATCGTATTTTAGAAACTTTTATTAAAAATTCACGTATACCGACACCGGAACGTATTTTGCCATATTTGGCTTCTGCCGGGTTCGGGTATATTGCAACAATTATAGGCGGTTGCAAACTCGAACCTGTCCTAATTTCTGCACTGATTGAGAGGTGGAGGCCCGAGACACACACTTTTCACCTTCCATGTGGAGAGGCAACAATTACATTGGAGGATGTCCCTATGCATCTGGGGCTTCCCGTCGACGGAAATATGATGTGTGGTATGGCGGATGGTGATTGGCAATCAATGTGCATTGATTATCTTGGAGCTGCTCCGCCAGAGTTTAATGGAGGTAGAATAGCTTTATCTTGGTTGAAAGCTAATTTTGAGGTTTTAAATGAAAATGCTTCAGAGGATCAAGCAAAGGCATGTGCTCGGGCATATATTCTACGAATAATTGGAGGAATATTGATGCCCGACAAATCTCGCAACCAGGTGCATTGTATGTGGTTGCGGCATCTGATCGATTTTGATGAAGCTTGAAGATATAGTTGGGGTGCTGCAGTTTTGACATTTCTCTTTAGAGAAATATGTCGGGCGACGAATTATAAGAAAACTGCTATCGGTGGATGTCTTCTGCTTCTACAATCATGGGCGTGGTTCCGCATGCCTTTCTTATGCCCGATCGTGAATGAACCATACGTATTCCCCTTATTGTTGAGGTAATTTTCGAACTAAATTTTGATTTAAATATTTTCAATTAAATAGGGTGATATTTAGTTTATATTATATTTCATAGGTGGTCGATGAAAAGAAAGGACCATAAAAGTATACCTACTGGGTTAGAGGAAATTCGTTTACTTATTGATACGAAAGCTGGGTCTGAGGTATGTTTTTAAATTTGTTTAATTATTAATATTTTAATTTAAAATGTTAGATATAATTAGAATATTTTATTTATTTGAATTGTATATTTATATTTCAGTTTCAGTGGATACCTTATGCGAGCGATGAAGTGAAAGCTTGCATCCCACCCCACCTTAGTGGGTCATTAGAGGTATGGATATCGGTTATACCTGTTATATGTTATGCTATTATTGAGTGGCATCCAGTTGATCGCGTGCTCCGTCAGTATGGTTGTACGCAATATATTCCTGGAGCTCCTAGGAATTTAGACGACATGCATAACATAGATAGACGGGGAAAGAAAGATGTTAACTGGGTGGTGAGACACAGATATTGGATTGCGCTTTGGGAGAACCGATATAAACTGTTGGCCCCTTGACAATATTACGCTGAAACTGGTCATATGGTTACGGACAACTATATGGACTGGTTTAATGAAAATGGGAAGCCGTTTCTACTTTCGGTGGAAGCACGAGGGGTTAACATTCCTAGGCGCCGAGAAAGACGTCAACCGTCTCAATATCATCGTCCCCCGACGCGTGGATGGAGAGAAGGCGCTACCGGTTCTGCATCAGTCCAACGACAACATCCTTATTCGTCGATGCCGCAGGGGTACATGCCCAGCCCTCCACTTCATATGCCAAGCCCACCAGTTTACATTCCGAGCCCGCAGGGTTACATTCCAAGCCCGCAGGGTTACATTCCTAGCCCGCCAGGTTACATGCCTAGCCCGCAGGGTTTTATACCATATGGAGGTGCATATACGACTATGTTTAATGATCCAGCATATGGTTCATATGCATCTTATTTGGCTGGTGGTGCTTCTCCGCAAACACCTCAATCTCCATCTGGATCACATACATCGATGCCAATGTTTCCACAGTTTCCACAGTTTCCGGGGAGCGATGGGATTGTTACTAGCACTCATCCAGGGTCGTTATTTTATACAGGCCCTTCAGCCCCTTCAGCGTCATCTACACCAAATGAAGAAAATGTTGCTGATGATGATAGTGAAGATGAGGAGACTGAAGAACAAGTTCCACGAAGAAATCCTCCACGAAATAGGCAACCACCGCCATGTGGAACTCATTCGAGAAGACGACATCGGTGATCCATTTATATTTAATGTTATTTAAATAATTATATTTCAGAATTTTATGTAATTTGGTTATGTTATTTAAATGTTTCATGGTTGTTACATACATATTTTTTAATGTTATTTTTTATTCACATTTAACATTAAATGTTTGATAAATGTTTTTAAAATACAAATTATAGTATTCGAAATTTAAAATAAAAATAAAAATAATATTATTCAAATTTAAATTTAAAATATAAATTATAGTATTCGAAATTTAACATTAAATTTCAACTTAATATTCCAATTGTATTCGAAATTAAAAGTTATATTCCAATTATAGTTCACAATACTTAAATTGAAATTAAATTTATCCATACATATGATTTTATCATTAACATATATATTAAAACGTATACATTAAAATCAACTTATGTTGAGTTCATCGATCGACGGAATCAGCCAAGAGGGGGTGAATTGACAATTTATTCAATGTCACATTTCAATGCTCATTCCATACAATTTCAATGTCACAATCAACTTATCACTTCACATTTATTCAATTTATCCATAACATTTTATCTAATTTATTCAAACTTCACATAACGTTTTAATTTAAGTTATTCTTAACTTGCTGAACTTTCAAAAGAAGTTAAATTTTGGTTATAATTTACCTGATTTACTGATATATCTAGTGTCTCCGAGGGACATGAGTGACATAATAGGGCAATGATAACATATTCTCTGATGACATAATGGAAGGCGCGCCCCCGGGAACGCGCCTTCATGTGAATAGTGAAATAATAGGTACTGATATATCTAGTGTCCCCGAGGGACATGAGTGACATAATAGGGCAATGATAACATATTCTCTGACGAAATAATGGAAGGCGCGCCCCCGGGGACGCGCGTCCCCGGGAACGCGCCTTCATGTCCCCTGAGAAATAATAGGTAATGATATATCTAGTGTCCCCGAGGGACATGAGTGACATAATAGGGCAATGATAACATATTCTCTGATGACATAATGGAAGGCGCGCCCCGGGAACGCGCCTTCATGTGAATAGTGAAATAATAGGTACTGATATATCTAGTGTCCCCGAGGGACATGAGTGACATAATAGGGCAATGATAACATATTCTCTGACGAAAATAATGGAAGGCGCGCCCCCGGGAACGCGCCT